CAATCCCAGTGCCGCTGGAAGAGCTGCACCATCCCCTCCCAGGTAGAAGCTTTGGTCAGGGTCTTCAGATTCTTTCCTTGGAGAAGAATGGTAATATCCTGGAACTGCTGCTGCCCGGGCTGTTGGATAGTCTCCAGGATGCTGGCCCAGATCTGCGGCAGCATATCAGGCGGGAGAAAATAATATAGCTGCTGCTGCCGCGCCGTAGACTCGACCCGCTGCATCCGGGGTTTGACTCCGTGGGCTGTCCCGTTCAGTCGGCTATGTTCAAAGCTGGAGGGATAATGCTGTACGAGAGACCCGTCGTGGTGCCGATAGATCGCAGGCAGCAAGACCTGATCCATCCAGATCTGAAAGTCCTGGTCCCGGAGGCGGCTGGACTGCTGCTCCTTCCGGTAGAGCCGGGGAAACAGTAAGATAAGAGATATATTCTCAAACCCAGTCAGCTGTCCAAAGGTGTAGTGCGGGATCTCGTGGACGGCGCGAAGAGCCCGGTGGGATCAGCCCTGTGGATCCAGGTACTGCACGGGCAGGGGATCGAGGTGGAGACTGGACTGGAGATCAGATACAGCTATCTGGGTCGGGTTCCACTGTACTCCCTGCTTAGCCACGGCAAGGCTCGATGCAAACCCCACGATACTGTCAATATCAAAGGTCACCTCCGTTACTGTGTCGCTGTGATGATCGGTCGCGAGACAGACATGGACAGGCTCAGCATGGGATAGCTCTGCAGAGATACCACAATATACCTGTTGCCTCCGCTCACTACTGACCTGACGGGCAAGGTGGTCCTTCCTCCGCGCCATTATCGGGACCCGTAGAACATCCGGAAATCTGCCCTCGGTTAGTACCCGTTCCAGGTAGTTTTTCAGGCCCGAATAATCTGTATGCTGAGTGGAATGCTGAGTCTCCTGTTGGCGATGGCAGTGTACACAGCAGCCATGGTGGGTGTACAGTTGATCGGTCAGGGTCTGCCCAAGGGCCTGTACAGCTAGGAGGATCTCGGGATCGGGCGAGTCCAAGCGATTCGGTGAAGTACTACGCGGGACAATAATTTCTACAGAGACAGTCGGGAGAGGTGTGGCAGACAATGCCACAGTCTCAGGCGCGATCGAGGGTATATTATCGGGAATAGGGTCAACGGGTAGCGTCGGGGGACTAAGAGGTGGCAGCAGCGGTTCTAGTTCTGCAGGAAATGTTGGTTCGTCCGGGGGGAAGTAGGTCGCAGTAGAAGAATCAGGCTCAGGCAGCGCAGCAGCCGTGGGTGTGTAATACTGATAGTATTCAGCACTTTGCTCAGCGGCACGGGTGGACTGTCGCTTTCTCCGCCGCTGGGCAACATTGGATGCTTGTTTCTGTGCGGTGGAGGAATAGACACGCGGTCGCCCTCGTTTGCGTACGGGAGGAATAGGTGATGGGGGCGCCATGGGGATGGAGTAATTGGTAGACAGCTACATATTGCAGAGAAAATAATTGAGGGGATTAGGGGCTGAAACAATGTGCGCAGAGAATAAAGACGATAGATCATAATATCAGTATACCTAGTCTGAAAGCAGTAAGCGTGGCGGTCACGACTGAAATAGGCTTAGTTTTGACCACGAAAATCCAAACAGGTTTAGTTTTGACCATGAAATTCCAGCGGTATGCTTAGATAATCTCCGTTCACAAAAACCATCAAAATCCCGAACTTTGACCAGGGATATCTCAACAACCACAAGAGCTATCTTAAATCTGATGGAAGATTCGTACTCTGGAGGGCCTTATTTATTATTTCTGAAAGTTTGGTACTCACCAGTTGTGGTTGAAGCCCAAGTCGAAGGCGGGTTTTGGCTAGTGGAGAGGAGCACTCGCCCGCAGGAACACTAATCAGGTGTGCAGCCAAATTCGCTAGTGGGTGTAGTACATATATTGACATTTAAATCGACTCTAGTAAGTAATACAGTATAAAATACAAATACAAATAAAAACACCAATCGGATCATGAAGTAGAATACGCGGAAAAATTAGAAATAAGAAGCTATATGCCTTCTACTATCCTATATAGCTATCCTGCGAGCGAATGACATTTGCCATATTAAGAGTTATTATTTTAGTCAGTGTATAGAAATTACTATGTATTAAGTATACGAACGAGTTCTGTTTGTGGCTTGCATGTCTAGGGTTCTTGGCGGCTGGGAAATATGTAAATATGCAGGCCAGAGATTGTATGGATTCATTGTTCTCTTTAGTTGTTGATAGTGCATCAGACTAGTAGAGATGGGCGCGGCCAGCTGATCACACCTGCTAGATCCAAGTAGATGCAAATCCCGGTAGCGATATTCTGAGCGCACTACGGAGTAAGGCACGAGCTCTAGCCTCCATTCCAATTATTTAAAGGTCAACAATATCCCCCCAACAGCAGGTCCTACATCCACAGCAAGCATCCGTTCATCTTACACTGTTCAAGTATTGTCTACTCTTGATATCCTTCAATATGTTGTTCAACAAGTCTCTTCTGGCTACAACTGCCATGGCCCTCTTTACCTCCAGTGTTGTTGGCCAGACCGTTAGGGTCCGTATGATCTTTTACTTGTCAAATGTCTGGCTACTACATACCTGAATTCCATACTCATAGTCTATCTAGGTCTCATATGGCTCCCCTCTGCCAACTGACGATTTCCATCAAGTCCTCAACTTAGATGAACTTGTGGCGCTGGACCATCCGTATGCTCTCTTTCTATCCCCACAACCGATCATACCTCTAATCTTCTCAGGGGCGAATGGGTATACTTTTTCTCCAGCCAACCCTGTGATCTTTACGGGTAAGTAGACATACACTCACCCCAACCCCGGCCTTTCATTCAGTTACTCATCCCCCTCATCTACAGCGAATCCGATACCGAACCAGTTTTCACCAAGGTCATCGGCCCGTATTATTTCCTTCGGCCGACCTACATTGCCTCCGCCTTCTGCCACAGCGATTGATGGGACAACTTATCCATCTAACACGGCTGGAGTGCAATATATGGTAAATTCCGGTATGCATGATGCTGCCGAGCTTGCCTACGCGTGATAGAGAGCATCCCACGAAGATCAGGCAATGTAGCAACGCGGCCTCGCCTATGGAAAGGCCCCATCTTCCTGTCGTTTAGCTCATACTATCATATCCATCAATTCTATCAAGTCTTTCGTTGATTGTACTATTGAAATCTGTAAGTTTGGGTGCACGTGAAGACGCTGGCTCCAACTCAAACCTGTAAGTCCGGGGTCGTCGCCCCAGGCTTTCTGCGGTACCTACATACCCCAAGGATTTCGTGTCTGTCGTAGATCTAGCAACTTCAGATCTCACCCCGTGTGACTGCGTACGTGTGCTGTGCTTGCATGTTTGGATCTTGACGTTTCTGCTCGTGGTCTTGCTCTCTGTCTTAGAGGCAAGGTACAGCTTTTAGATAAGAGAGTATAGGAGAGACAGAGAGATGGCGTTTATAATGCTTGTTCTTATTGTGAGTGCGTCTCATGTGAGATACTAGGAAAGCCCCCCCCCCCTATTCGGGGATTGGTAAGCAGTCCTGAATTGACATATATTATCTTTGTGGAACTATTTAACTTTAAGATTGTTGCCGAGTAGTGATAGATTGTATATAGGTAGAAATAAGATACTAACTGCTTTACTAACCAAGCTTTATAAGGGCCTTTGATTAATCAGGAAGTTATTTTAAAGAATAGCTCTGCTAACAGGACCTCTAATTTCTTTTCTTTTTTCCTTTTTTATTTTCTGTGTCCTTTTGTCGCAAACCCTCCCTCGATTTCATCTCTCCGCCACCACACATGAAAAGGCGCACATATGATTCGATTCGATGGCTGTGATGTTGCTCAGCCTCGCCAGGCCTGGTCGAAGACATGATTGCGATTGGGTGTAGGGACAGCGACACCACATCAGCCGGACCAAGAAGGATGCAGTATTTAAACGAGGGGCGTCTGACGTCTTGTGTTGTATCTTAAGGGGTAGAACGCTTCATCATCTATCCGCCGCTGCTCATCGCATAAAGTGTGATAGAGCTCAAGAATGTCCTGCACTACTCTCAGGATATCCAGAGCAAGGGGCCAAACATTGAATACCTCATAGCTACCTCCACGTTCTGGAGCAAACAGCTTCAGTCCTTTTTCTTTTCCAAGCTTCCATGCATTTCGTTCTGATAGTGTCATCGGCGCATCATTCTCAATACATTTTGCTAGGCCATGGACATATTTTTTCGAAAAATTACGTGTCGCAAGCTCCATCAGTTGAAGGTCTTGAACACCAGCAAGCGTAATTCCAAAGCAATTGTAGAGGGCATCAGCGTTATTGCGAACGTCAAAGAAGACTTTTGGAACAGATTCCGTTTCCAAAAGTTTTTTAAGAGTCTGACCATTGCTTGCTGCTTTCGCAAAGGCATTCTCCTTCAGCATATGAATATCAATCAGATAGGTCCTGTTGTGAGGCAGAACAGAAATCTGAAGTATCGAGATGCTTCCATGCCGCGAGAGATTGGTACCTTCAAGGTCAAGATACAACGATGGGGGATCTGCCGGTAACTCGAACAGTTCTTCAACAACATCAGCTACACTGATAGCGGTGTTGAGAAAGATATATGGTTGGTTTGCTTGAAGCGTTGTTCTCGCGAGAGAACTTGTAATCTCAGATATGTCAGCTCTGATCACGGCTTTTGCTGTAGTATTCGCTCCTGTAGCACCTTCGTCGGTTGTAGTATCGTTGATGATAGCTGCTGGAACATGAGAAAATGCAAAAAGTTGGGTAGTAGTAATGACTTACTAGACATGCTGTTTAGGTCCGCTTAGATACGAAAATAATGTGCTTGGTAGCCAACAGATTATAGTTCGATTTAGATATACGGATAGTGGTGTCCTTAATATACAAAGAGTAACTAAATCACGAGAGACTGTAATGGGTATTTTTACAAGGCTAGAACGGCCCATAACGCTTCATCTTCTCCAATCATCCAGCATGACCAGACAGCTAGCTTAGGACGCATATACAGGGATATTGAGAAATAACCTAACACGGAATAGCCGATACGACATTAACCATGAAGGCTGCTACTCATGGGACATTATCGCAGCCCAGTAGTACACATGACAGTAGCGTTCTTTGTTAACGCAGCCTAGGGTAGCACAGAAGTAGTATATTGTCACCGCAGATCAGTAAAGAAATACAATCTGCACGCTTGTCGCCCAGACTTGGGACGCTGGATATCATTTCCCTGCCGAAAAAGGCAGCCAAATAGCAAATCGCAGTTCTTATAGAGTAGCATTCTATTTATAATTATTATTTTATAGGTACTACTTTATTTTATTCTACTTATAGCGGTATCTAGAAAAGATTCTTTTACCCTTAAATAGTATTTTAATAAGAAATTCTTTTTTATCTATATTATATTGTGATCGTGGCTACGATGTACTGCTACGTAGGAGAGCTACCGGGTGTAGGAGAACCCTGCAGATCCACTAAAAGGGGCTGCCTGACCCAACGTGTATATAAAGGCCGTAGCTACCCCCCAGACCTACAGAAGGTCGGCAACTCTCTACCTCTCATAGCATACCGCTACTTGTAATCTCAATATATATTTTTAGACTGTATTTTATATTCCTTGATTTTTCTGGTAAGTAACTTAAAGTATAGAGTATACTTAAATACAGAATTAGCTCTCTTGTGTGTAGAATGGATTTCAGTAGTATAGCAAGAGATTAGCTTATTTTAATATTTCTTTAAAAAATAGTTTGGCTAGTACTTTTCAGACTTTATTTCTAAGATCTCCTTTACAAGATTCTGAAGTATTTTAGAGATAGAATATAGGTCTCTCTTAGAGAGTTTATTAATATAATTTATAAGAGTTTTGGCTTGAAGGCTATTGAGTAATTACTGGTTTTTATATTAATTCTCTTTTGAATGTATAATACCCTAGTGATATCTTGAGAGAGTTGTATAATTAATACCAAATTCTTTCGCTATTTCTGTATATTTAAATAATTTCCCTGGATCTAGGGATTTTAAAAAAGTAAGTACCTTATTAATTGAACCCATATTGACGGAGTTGTGATGGTTTGAAGTTGAAGTCAAAAGGTCGGTGTATATAGAAATCCATGCGGCAGGTGGGGACGTGCGTCAGGTAATCAAGTACGGTAAGGTTCAGCGATCCTACTCCCGCTTGTACATAGTCTCTTGAGTCTGTAGATCGGATCCGATAAGACCGGCCTCTACTATCCTTCAGCGTCATTGCCGATATTTCCCAGTCGATTGTCGGATTCATACTTCGCAGCCAATCGCGGCAGAGAATCAGATCGTATTTGTCCAATAGATCGCCCACGTATCAATCCTCCCTAGCCATCCTCCCAACTGTAGGGGTAGGCTATAGATACTCCTGGTTTCCAAAGCGTCCCCATTAGGGAGCTTCATCTCCAAGGGTATCTGGGCTTGCCTCTGCGACCAGAATCCTACTTGTGCCAACGTTCGTGCCACGAAGGTATGGCTTGCTCCTGAATCCACTGAGATGCGGATCGCTAGTCTTGTTGACCGGAGACCTCTATAGCACGTTAAGGCGCCTCCCAACGCGTACAGGTGTCCGCTATACCTTGACTTTGGGTGCTGGATAGCCATCTTTCCGGTGTCCCTATTGTCTAATGGATCTGGCGTTTCGAGCCAATCCGTATCGTTCGGGGAGGGTTGCTTCATTTGGTCGACCAGAGCCTCCTCGTCCAGCGACCTTGGCGTTCCCCCGACGCGCTTCCTCTTGGTTTCGACCAGCAGTCTGTGGCGATATGTCCATTCTTATGGCAGCTGAACCACCTTCGCATCTCCCCCGACGCACCGTTATGGTTGAATCCCTGGCTATTTCTCTCGCGGCGTCCAGCGGGGTTCCGATTTTCTGGTCCGTATAGGGCTTTGAGGTGCCTAGGTGAGATGTCGTTAAGATTTGGTCGGATTCCGCGCTAAACCCGAACCCGCTCCAGGATTAGATTTTTAAGTCAGAACGCACCCCGGAATCTGGATGTCAATAAGGTCGGCCAGTTCAGCGAGGTCCAAAATTTCTGACTAACCATGGAAAACCGATGACAATCCGAGGCCAAAGAAAAGTCCTTCAAGCTGACGAAATTCAAAGTCTTGGCTGGTATTCGAATATAAAAAACGGTGAGTTCTACCCCAATCAATATTCGCGACTTGCCTCACCTTTAAGGCTTAGGTGGAGCTGTCCCCAATAGATGACCTTATCTAAGATTGAACACAACAACTTCCTGCCTATCAAGCATCTCAATACGACCAAACTTTTAAGGCTCACACAGAATATGAAAATAGTAGTCCGCAATAGCTCAATATTTAGTATTGTAGTAGACATATACTTCACTCACATTAGTCAGGCAAATCAAGGAGCGTCATGAACTGCCAGCCACTATTATATAGTAGAGGATGTCAACTACGAGGCTAAAGGCTTTATAAGCCTGAATCTCAGTATGGCCATGAGCCTTTAAACCCCCGATAAAGAGTTTTCTGTAACCGCCTAGGAAGATTGGAACAGAACGTGGACTTGAGGAATAAGTCCTTAGGGGTGCGACGATAAGGTATTTATCCTAAGTCGATAACGTCATCGAACGTTGTATATGCTCTAGGGTGTAAGAAGAAATATCTTGGTTATTCATCTGCCTTACAACATCCTTATTCCATCATAGTTTCCACTTTGACAAGTTGATCCTCAAGAAACTTTCTGGCGTGAGAAAAAATGCTACGGATAAGGAAAGGATATTTGAATTAAGGTCTAAACCTCGGCTCGGACTTTAAAGTGTAACTTCTCCTCGGGATGGTAAGAGAATATTCCGAGTGGCTGCAGAGTAATAGGTGGATACGCTTTCCGTAGCAAAACATTGGATTATGTCAGACTTCATTTTGACCAAATTAAGGTACTTCTATAAATTATGGGAGCAAGACATTAAATCAGTGTGTCCAACCTGCTCCTACGCAAGTTACTAGACCTTATATCTCGTTCTTTCTTTGACTCGCCATGAACAGTGCTGAAGAGGGTGTTGCTTCGGCTGTACCCGACCATATCAATTCCTATGGAACAATGTCCGTTGAGCAGATGCATAAACCACCCACCTCCGGGCCAGACTTGAAGTCCTTCCTCGCGGATCCTACACCACTGTAAGAGCCTATCACTAATGCTCCCTTTAATTTAGGGTCCTTACTCGGGCCAACGAGCTGATGAACACAGTGGTATTATGGGTTTCATTGTTGCCTTAACTCCGTTTACCTGTGAATTGATGGAGTTTCGAGGTGCTTTTGGAACTGGAGCTGCAACTGTGTGGGTAAAATAGTCAACTTTTTTTCGTTCTTGGCTGACTGGTATTTAGGGGCTCCCAGTACTTTTTCGGAGGATTAATTTTAATTATTGCTTCCGTACTCCAGTTTCTCCTGGGCAACACCTTCGTCTTTGTTGTTTTCGCATCTTTCGGTATGCCTGTCTTGCCTGGATTCTGTGGATTCTATCCCTGATACAAGAGTAGCGGCGTTTTGGCTTTCCTATGCTACGACATTGACGCCCTTTTATAATGCTGCCGCCGCATATGATCCGACTAACCCCGAAAATCCGGGATTCTATAATGCATATGGTCGGTGTCCTAACCCAGGACAAAAAGTAAGTAGAAAACAAACCCTCGCTAACAAAAACATAACAATAGGCTTCTTTACGCTTTTCATGGGTCTGCTCTGCTTTATATATCTCATTTGCAGCCTCCGAACGAATCTGTGCTTTGTCGCCATATTCCTTGGGCTCGTACTTGGATTCTGCCTTCTCACGGGTACATTATGGCAATTGGCGAATGGAAACTTGGGTTTGGCTCGAGCATTGAAGAAGGTTAGTCTTTAAACACCGTATACCCTCTTTCACAGTCGCAAACCGGAGCGACTTTGTGGTTTAGCTTGGAAACAGACACCTAATATGAATTTTGTTTTCGAAGGCTGCTGGTGCTTGCCTGGCTTTGGGGTCGTTGCCTGGCTGGTACTTCCTCTTTGTGCAGTTGCTAGCAACGGTTGACTTTCCGTTGACATTGCCAATTGGAGACCTCAGTCGTATCATTCCAGCTGCGAGTGAGCGGAAGAAGACAAATTGACCAGACGTTTATTTCTCGTCCCGATGTTACCGACTGTTGGGATGATGGAATATAGCAGATCTCAGGAGCATAGGGTAGATTTCGTGACTGGAGGTGAGCTTTTGGTACTCCCGGGGAAAGAAGGCAAGGGGGTGTTGGTTATACAGATCAATATATTGCAGTCAACTACAGGTTAGTAGAATAATTAGACCTATATCATTGGAAGTTATCCCAAATAAACATGCACGGAGTAAGTATCGATGAATGTAGCACCCTAAAACGATCGACGTCTCTTGCACTATACCTGGGAACTACAAACTTACGGACGGATAATTGATGTTAAAACCGTCATAAGATATTGAGGGTGCCGTCTTTGTGTTGGAACTCCCTGTCGTGATAAGACGCCCAGGCTACGTTCTTGAGAATTGACAGACGAGCATTTTGACAGGTCTATATCGGATTTTGCCTTCATTAAAGCCATAGTCCCAGGGCGCCTTTCCGGGGTAGAGTTGGACGTAAATGCTACAGGCAAATATTAAGATTGTTAACTCTCCGCTGGTGAAAGTTCATCGGGGCTCTCAAGATTTCGTATTATACGGTATGGAAACGTTGCAGCGGACACGACTATATCTCAACACATGAACGAATACACTAGCCAAACGAGGAGTGGTACACCACCATGTCTAACCCCTTTGGTCGTTCATGTATTATTATGAGCTAAAATAACTTCGTCGGCATTCTTGAGCTACCGGAAGAGAACGCGTGGTTCGTATCTCTCAGCAATAAACCTGGTGCAAGTCCATTTGCGGCAGGTGATATCTTGCAGTGCATCACACTGCGGGATCAATTGTCGCTCCACTGGAGAAAGCCAGAACAAGGTGTATTAATCTGGATGGGAATGGAATCGATGGCCTGAAATCCCGCCATTTGTGGAATACGGCGAACATGACCAAAGGATCGAGATATGAACTTCAGTCGCTGGACACGGGAACTGGGGGTCGAAGATATTCCCCAGAAAATGTGGGAGAGGGGGACGACCAAGCAATTTGTCCCATTCCAAAGCGAACAACATTCGACTCCAAGGACCACAACCAAAAAAGCACCAACAACAATGGCGATGAAGGCCAAATTCTATATACTCTAATATGGAAAGTCAATAGCCTGGAGGGTAACGATTTAATATCAACCTACCCAGAGGATCAGTTTCGCATCTTTCTCATACCACCCGCTTCCAATCCGCTGAGAGTAAATGCGTCACCTGTCACCCTTTTCTCCCTGACCCAGAACGCGAATCCGGCCCGCAGGTAATGGTTTATCATGAACATACCGTCTCCATATAATGGAGAGAAAAGGGGGGCGTGTTGAATATAGCACAGCAATATATGGGAATAGCCAGCCCGGTGATAATATTGTAGAGTTTTTATGATCAGAACAAAGGGGTACATCAAAATTGATCCCATGAGATCATTTGATATTCCAGTAGGGGCCGTCCGGCGCACCCAGGCGGGAAGTGGATCGAGCGGGCGGCCTGTAACTCCATTAACAAAATACCGTTTAAAATGCAGGAAATCCATACATCGTTCAGGTCTATATGTCACCCTAGACCTTCCTGAATGCCCCAACCAAACACGCCGAGGTAAATTCCGAATGTAAATGAATGGCAGAAGGTCCAGCTTCCTGGGTATTTTTCATCGCGTCGAAAGATGGAAGCTTATTCCATGCATGATGGGCGTTATAATATAACCTGCCCAGTAGAGGGCTTTTTGTTTTAAGCGCCCTTTCATGCGCACCGCGTAGTTCCTTACCTTCGTACCTTGCAAATGTAGCTTCATTTATTTAAAGTAATTAACACCCCTTGAAGAGCTGTTCTATAACAGCTTTAGTAGGCGAGTCGGGGCTCTTTGTACGTCCTCTCAGAAGCCTTTTCAGTGTAGTTTCCTGCTTCCGTAGTTCCTTCGGGTTATGAGGCGTTTTAGTACTGAAGTAGTGGACCTACTACTAGGTCTACCACCTGGAGGCGTTGCTTGAAGTTTTATATTAAGCTGAGAAAGCACGCACTCAGGTTCAAAAGGAATAAGACCAGTAGCTGAGAATCCACTGCAGATATTACTGGTAGCATATATCTGCGCTCTCGCTTGAGAGAAGGGTTCAAGAAGGTCAAGTTTAACTATGTAACTCAAGCGTGATCTCATCTTATCCTGTACTAGCCGTCCGTATACGCGCTTTAGGGGCCCAAAGCAGCCTACATCAAGCGGTTGGAAGTAGGTGAGATGAATGTGCAGCCATACAGAGAGGTATAATATTGCTTTGACTGCATTTACCACCAAACCGAGGTAATGAATGGCTGCCATGGTTATCAAGTATGAAAAGGCAATATTCACCAACGGTCCGGTGCGTAGAAGTAGGTATAAATACCTGCTGCAGCCAACTCCAACGTAAACGTATCTATCTCATCGGGGGTTGAGCCATTTGCAATTATTTCTATACGCCAGTCTAGTGGTAGGTCTTCGTACCGGCTCTCGATCAGGCCGTTCGGGCGAGGAAAAGGACCAGCATGAACACAGAAATGATAGAGGGGAAAGGGGGGGGGAGGGCGAATAAAGCCTCTAGGGATCACCTAGAGGCGGTGGACTAAGTCCACTGCATAGGGAACATGTCTCTGTCATAGCAAATTGCTTTCTGTGGACGTTAAACTTGATTAATAATAATAATACACCAAGAAGTTTCTTTGAACATCCTAGATGAGGCTACTATTTGAAACATGAAACATGATTAATCATTGATCCATCTTTCACTATAGGCATCTTGACGTATTATCTGAGAAGAGTATCGCGCTTCCGCTTGATTATATCAACGAGAGCCTCATCACGTTGTTTTTCAACCTCCTGGATTGGATTCCTGGCTAGCATCTCCTGTACACTATCGTCCAGTTTTTGGATGTTAGCATTATTGGGAACAAATGCATGGTCGTTCATATCTTGTGTCCACTTCTGCACAGCAGGCCCTAAATGGGTAAGAATATGACGGAAGCCTCCCTCGCCCCCGCCCCCGCCGAGTACGTTGGTCATGAAGGGCCCCGTAAATGCCCATCGGAGTCCAACACCGGTAGTAACACACGTATCTTGTAGGAAGCGTTAGCGCAGCCATTTGTAATTGGCCAAAACATAGAGTGCATACCACAAGCCTCGGCGGAGACGATACCTCTCTGCACCAGGCTGTATGCCTCGTTGACAAGAGCTGCCTGGAGCCGATTGGCAATAAAGCCGGGGGTTTCTTGTTGAATATGGACTGGCGACTTTCCAAGTGATTTATAAAATTCTACGGCGGTTGTAATAGCGCGATCATGAGTACGAGGGTGAGGAACGACCTCGACAAGGGGCATCTAGGAGTGGTCAGCGGGCTTCGATGTCTTCCTGGAAAGAAAGATATTCTGTACCAGATGTGGGGGGTTGAACGGGTGGCCAATGAGAATGCGCTGGGGGTTCTTGCATTCCGCAATAAATTGCGAGGAGGGAATTCCGGACGAAGACGAAGCAATGACCACATCCTTTCGTGTCTTCGCATCCAAGGTCGCGAAGAGCTTAATCTTTAGCTCAAGTCTCTCTGGTGCATTCTAAAAAGGGTCAATCGTTTTTAGGCCCAGCATATATTAGTCACAACAACCCAAAACGTTACCTCCTGGATGAAATCAACCTCTCCGCAATGGTTGTCTAAGCTTTCACCAACAAAGCTGCAATTAGACAGTGATGCATCTGGGTGTAGGCCCAGCTGTTCCAGCGATGGCCACACCCCTTCCAGATAGGTCATCACGTGATCCTTCGCACTCAGAGCAGGATCGGAGACTAAAACCCGAAGTCCATTTGCGAGGAACAAAGCAGTCCAGCTAGCTCCGATGACACCAGTGCCCACAACCCCAACTGTTCTGATAGCAGGCGTCATACTTGATGCGAGTGTAACTCAAAAAAAAAAACAAAATCCATTTAGATCATTCACGAATGAATTGTTGATGGTAGCTTAGTGGGCTTACTCCTGGTTCTCATATAAGGGATACTTAAATGTACTGCGGCCTAATCAAGAGGCCGAGGTAATAACCACCGTCTACGTTGGGTGCTTCGAAATATACTCGTCATACTTTCTAATTCCTGCTCAATTAACTAGGAACGCCACTTCCGCCTGAGCCGAATCCTACGATTTATGCAGACGACATATGCTCGTGGTTGACTTTTGAAGAACTCTATTGACGAATATATTTGGGGAAGCCAGTACTGTAGCCCCATATGAAGACGTCATTTGAATTTCGGTTCGGCAAGGGCAAGCCAACGATATTAACGGAATATAGTTCCGCGAGATAAGGTTTCATCCGTCAACCTGTGTCTAAACTAAACCGAATCCAGCACCAGTGGGTCTTAAGATCTTCCGAGTGTCGACAAAGCATTGGCTTCCGGAAACAGGTCAACCTTTTCAGAGCCCCACCAGAGGAATACCTTCCAAAAGCCTGTTCTTCGCGCCCCCCGGCGCCGTTCTCATGTTGGCAATGATATCGTCAACCTGTGACGGTGGAGCTTGTACAAGCTCTTGTGTGCCACGGCTTCAATCGATCGGCCCAGTTTCTCGGTGATAGACTTGTATCGACCAACCGTCCCGTTGCGCAGGCTTGCCTCGAACAGATGCTGCTTTGATTTGCTAGCCAACCAGGCGTACTTATTCTCCGGGGAATTCTTCAAGCGACCCTGGCCCGGTGATATACTCGGGTAAGAGTTTCATCTAGATGGCCCATTTATCCTTCCCGGTACTTCCCGGCATTCCTGCCTGTGTGAGGCGCGTTTCTTGTTGCTCATTGGGCCCACTGTGGTGTCAGCCGGTTCCTTTATTGGACACAATCCTGGATTCCTATTAAGGTTTTTACAGTGGATCCTTTGGTAGTTCAATCTATGTTTCCCCATAGATAAAGAGAGAGAACTGGGGATAGATCGCTACCAAACTGCAACTCGGCCTGCGGCTCCATTTGGTCATCCCTGAAGGTACTCTGTTAACAGATTCCCCTCAGGGAGGCTGGCCAGGGTTGACCCCGTAGGTAATATATTTTTTGGACATGTATAGCTGTGGAGGTGATCCACATCTGCAATTAAAGATCTCATGAACCCAACAAGGGGACACATGGCGGGCGGCCCGGTGCAAAGGGACAGGATTGTTTGCCCTCATTTTACCCGCTGATTGGCATCAAGTACTACAAGCCCTAGACCAAATACAGATTCCACGGCTACCACATTCACCACGAGTACTACATCAAGTTGGAAGGGTCTAAACTTTATAGCTTTTGTTCAATCTATGCACTGTGGTAATAGAAGTTCCGGTTTAAATGCAGCTAGTTCAGATATTACTAGGCCTGAGTACAAAAAGCTACCCACAACAAAAAGATGCAAAAAGTCGGTGGTTTAGATAGTCAGCCTGGGTACCAAGGCGCCTGCCTAATGATGCCCGTATTCTGGTTGACAAGAAGAAAACAAAGGACGAAGAGCATTTCCGTATGGATCAGTCCAAGAATTTGTTTACGCTCCCAGACCATTCTGTCGTAAGAAATCGGCGATGTACTCATAAGCCCCGGTAGCATTGTAGTGCAGGTTGAGTCCATGCCCGGTGTTAGGCTGGATGTACGCCTGGAACACCTTCGAAGCGGGGAAGCCCTTAGCTGCCTCCTCCGGGATGGAGGCAGCTGTCCCACCAGTGGCGAGACAATCCCCTCCACAGAAAGGCAGGTCGCCGGAGCCGGTGATGATCAGCACCGGACCTGTGAATTGACTGCTGAACAGCGCGCCGCCGGCAGTAAGGAGTTCACCGATCGTGACAGGTTGTTTCGTCGCCTCCGCAAAGGGTAAAATGCCAGGGTCGAAGTAAGGTGCCGAGAAGAAGAGGTACTGGTTGGCGCTGATGTCACTGCTGGAGAGGTATCCTGGGGAATAGCCCGAATCAGGCTGCTGGATGTGTGTCTGCTGGAAGTTGGCTCCGGCTAGGAATAAAGTCTGAAAGGAGGCGTTCGGAGAGAAGCCCGTCAGGATAATGCCGTCAGAGATGGTCGGGTATATGGCTGTCAAGCCATACGTTTGGATGGAGCCGAAGGAATGACCAACGTGGACAACCTTCCGGGGTTTCTCAACTCTGGGGAAACTACCGTTTCGTGCCATCTGGGTAATTTGTGCTAGGGCGGCAACTTCAAGGGAGATTTAGATTTCGTTCTTGGGGTCGCCGTGAGAGGAGTTGCCGATACCGAGACGATCGTAGGAGAGGGTGTGGTAACCATGGGAGAGGGCATTATCCACATAGGAGTAGTTGAAGTTATTGTATGGGAGGTCCCAGTATCTAAGATCGGCCATATTAGTAGCCATTCTGCGTGAATATAGTTTCGGGTAACAACGCTTTATCAAATGCAAATCCATGTGTCAGAATCTGCAGGACTGGTCCAGCACCAGGAGTAACTGCATCGGGCTTGCAGTATTGGGTGGAGATCTTGTATGTCCCCGACACAGTGCTATAGTTTGTCAACGACTCCTGTGTTCCATTGTGCCCTGGACGCGTAGCCGCTGTGATAAAGGCGGTGGTTTCCAAGTTCGTCTGGGGCGTGGCGAGGTTGTCAAAGACACCGTTACGAGATGAGACAGAGATCTCAATGCTGCTATTGTAGCATGCTTTGGCGGCCGTACTGGCGGCCAGAAGTGACCAGAAAAAGGCGTTTCTCACAGACATAGTAGAAAATAGGTTGAGGCTTCAATTCGATGGCCAGGTACAAACAGAGCGATGAAATCATTTATATATGTAACACAGGTCTCCTCTCTCAGTAGCAAAGTCAAATCACTCAACTAAAGTGGCGTAGTGTAATACCAAAGTGCGCAACTCGCCCAAATGTCGATGACTTCAGGACTATTTTGGTATGCCGGAAGCGGATGGCGAGAGAAAATGTAGATGATCTACAGATTATCGACCATGGCACGCACGACTTGGATCCACAATGGGATTGGATCATTGGTCAAATCTATCTATCTCCTTCCGTGTTGGCTGGAAGAGGTGAATGGATTCGTCTAGATGAATTGCTCCAGATAAAACGTACCTGCCATATCTTTTTAGGTCTCATGGACCAGACCGGGACCGAGACCGAGACCTTCAGATTTCCACGGGTAACGTTCCTGCCGAGACGTGCTATATGATGATTGGGCCCCACACGAAATACCTCGGTCTCAGGCTGATCTACCGAGGTATGGCGAATATAACTCTGTCCATGGACATCACCCTCGGGATCGAACCTTGCCTTGCTGTCAAACTCTCACCTAGAACTATGATTATGGGTCAAGCTTGGTAAGCTCTTGATATGATACAATTATGATATCAGCACTCTGATAGAGCTCCTTGTAGTTCTTTCACCAATTGTACACGGAATCACCTGTGACATTTGAAATTCACTACTAAAACACCTGTCTTATATGATTATCCTATATAATGCTGTTGGTTAAATCTTAGATGTGCATAGCTACCTTACATGAGACACCAAGTGTGTAGCATGATTTTTTTCGATTGAACATAATATGACCGACGAAGAGTTCATTCTAGGCTTATACCCTGCTCTCCTTTGGGCTATACCACGGTTCTGGGTCGCTGGGAGTTAACTATCTCCCAGAGCTAGCAAAGTAGGGCGAGAGAATGATGAACGTCGGTCTAATTGCACATAGAACCAAAACTCGTCCAAAGCGGAGCACCAAGGTCGTTTTGCTATTTTGTAAAGCGCTGCAGATATTCATTGGGTGCATGTTTTTTTGGTCCACCCAGCGCAGATCATCTGTTGGAAACTGTGGCTTAACTAGACTCCAATGATAAGCCCGATAGGTCTCCACAAGCACGACGATCCAATTTAACCTGCAAAAGTCTAGATATGCTACCCGTGTATCGTCACCCACAGAGAGTTGTCTTGGCAAACTATGGTTGAGCTTAGGTAGTTAAAAGAGCACCACTCTGTCGCTTCTTTGTCAGAGTTCGTTCAAAAGTGACCAAATTCGCATGATAATATATTCGCATGGGATTGTATAACGGCAGCAGCCATAGTACAGTCAGAAAACAACACCAGAATGGAAGACCAGCATCAAGAACAATCCGCCTCTAGACATTTACTAAATTTCCGAGAGCAAGCTCTTGGCACGGGGGTCCGGGCTATGGGTATGTCACTCGACAATCATCTCCCATGTGTTAGTCACTTATGGCATAATTATAGATGATGGACGACTTGATATTGAATTTGATGAACATAGGCCCTGGTCTCATCGTTCATTCAGCGTATGGAACGTCACCCAGAACCTATTGTTGAGAAACCCAGACCAGTAGCACCCGTCCCAGAAGGCGAGGAGACCTTTCCACTGCGTCTCAATGTCGTTGTTCAGGTCGTTGGATCGCGCGGTGATATACAGCCATTCATTGCGATGGGGAAAGAGCTTAAAAAGCATGGCCATAGAGTACGGCTAGCCACACATTTGGCGTTCCGTAAAGATGTCAATGAAGCGGGTCTCGAATTTTTTAATATCGGAGGGAACCATGAAGAGTTGATGGCCTTTATGGTCCAGAATCCAGGACTAATTCCAGGGATCCACACGATCCGTACCGGTAAAGTTCAGCAACGTCGCCGTGAGATGAAAGACATATTCTCGGGCTGTTGGCGCTCTTGTTTTGAGACAGGTGATGGAACAGACTTACACTATACCTCCGAGACTCAGTCCACTGGTGCAATAGATTATGTTATGAAGCCATTCGTTGCCGATGTTATCATCGCCAACCCCCCGTGTTTTGCCCATCTTAGCTGTGCTGAAAAAATGGGCGTACCTCTCAATATAATGTTTACGTGAGTCAAATACCATACCACAAATGATTTACCCTATAGGTTAACCAATCCAGTATGCCGTGGTCTCCGACGCAGGCTTTCCCCCACCCTCTGGCTAATATCAGGTCGGGAAGTACAAGGCCGTCGGCTGCGAACTTTGCGTCCTATGGTATTGTAGAGGTTATGATGTGGGAGGGGCTTGGAGATCTTATTAATCGCTTTCGACGAAGAGAGCTAGGACTAAACCCATTAGATGCTGTCAGAGCTCCCAGTATAGTCCACCGTTTACGAGTTCCATACACCTACCTCTGGTATATGATTTTGGCCCGAAATTTCATAGAGCATCTCTAATCTTTACAGGTCTCCTGCCCTACTCCCTAAGCCCCACGACTGGTCAGAGAACATTGACGTGTGTGGATTTCAGACTTTATCGAGTGGATCAGATTATCAACCCCCTGCGGACCTGGAGGATTTCATAAAAGCGGGAGACCCACCAATATATATTGGGTTTGGCTCAATTGTGGTGGACGACCCTGAAAGGCTAACAAAAATATTATTTGAGGCTGTTTATCAGACAGGCCAACGCGCACTTATCTCTAAAGGCTGGGGTAAGATTGGCTCAGGAGTAGACAAGGTCCCGGACAATATCTTTCTGATAGGGAATTGCCCTCATGACTGGCTCTTTCGACATGTATCATGCGTTGTGCACCATGGAGGTGCTGGAACAACAGCTGCGGGCTTACTATTGAGCCGCCCTACCGTGATTGTCCCTTTCTTTGGCGACCAACCATTCTGGGGACATATTGTTGCACAGGCAGGCGCAGGGCCAATGCCAGTGCCGTATAAGCGATTGACCCCAGACAGACTAGCAACTGCTATTATGCAGGCTCTGGAGCCACAAACACGGGAACATGCAGAGGAAGTCGGGCAAAATATGCGGCTGGAAACAGGTGTGCAGAATGCAGTCCGCAGCTTTCATGGGCATCTAGACGCCGACAACTTACGCTGCTCCGTCTGTTCCGACCGGCCTGCCGTCTGGTGGATCCGACATTCGCATATTAAGTTGAGTGCATTTGCTGCTTCAATATTACTCCACACAGGGCATATACAGTCGCGTGATATAATATTGTATATCTCTCTAGTACAATTTTGTAGTCCCTGCTAACGATGCCAGGTACCGCGCCCAGGAATATGACACTAACCGCGAGCCCCGAGGACCGCTCTCAGCTATCGCAGAGGTTCTTTATGGTGTAGCTACGGATCTGATAGTTACTACCGTGCGCATGCCGTCAGCAATAGCCTCCATCTTTCCTGGTTCACATCAAGGATTAGTGCGGGACGAGTACAAGGGGAGAGAGTGGGCAATGGAGCATTTTGCGGAATGCTTGTCAACCCACCAAAACACAGAGCTCTACCACGGGACTGGTGATAATGAGCATCCTACCTGGTCTCATGCACTAAACCAGGGGAATGCCGTTGCACCCACCCACTCGACAAAGAGACAGGTTCAAGAAGAGGTCCCTTCGGAGAGCAGTGCAGGCATCCACGCTGAAACTGACATGGAGCAAGTAGAACAAGAGCGAAGGGACAAAGACCGCAGCAAGAGAAAACAGACTCTTCGCGAGACAAAATATCGAGCGACAAGATTTGCGAAGCATATACTGGTGTATACGATCGTACTCCCAACCGATTTGACACTTAGTATATCCAAAGGGCTTCACAACCTGCCTAAGTTATATCATGACCGGACCGTCGAAAATATTCCAAAGGTTATCGGGATTAAAAGCGGGTTTAGGGCAGCTAAGAAGGTGTGTATGACCACGTTACCCTTAGCCTTATGGCAGACATTCACTTTCTATAGGAACTTGTACAAGGGTTTTACCAAGGAGCGACCGGCCTGATCAAACAGCCTGTTCAGGGCTTTGAGGTGGAGGGTGGTAAAGGGCTTCTCAAAGGCATTGGCAAGGGAATAGGTGGAGTCCTCTTTAAACCAGTTGCAGGTAGGTTTAATTCTACTACTGCTCCCCACAGGTAACCTGCTCAACTGTCTGGTCACTCAGGGATTTGCGGACTGGTCGGGTTTCCGTTGGATGGATTTCACAAAAAGCTTCGTCGATCGCTAGCTAAGAGTAAGTCGAAAGAAATTATTCGATTACGTATAACACAGGGTATTGAAGAAATGTGTGCGGCGTCGCCTGAAGAGCGACGCGAGGTGATTCGAATTTGGCATCAGTTATGTGAGAACCGGTCTTGAAGTAGATACTTATATGTTTTGCGATGTGATATATATAGCCTACGGAGTCTGGTCCACCGTGAATATTATCAGGATGGGCTTGCACTCCATGTATAATGTACACGCATCTTAGCAGAATATATGTCTCACCCGCTTCACACTTGGGGTCGGCAGCCCTCTACCTTGATTAGCTACTACCTACTAGCAATCACAGCTTTTTAATTGCACACGCTCGCTAATGTATCGGCCCCTAAGTGCCACCTGGTGCTTGTTAGCATGGATCTCCCACCGCCACGCATCGCAGCGCCACAATTATTGTTAATGCAAACTGATAGTAGTGCAGAATATGGGACCCTGGTTATGAAAGAGCCTGCCGCAGGCTGGCCGGTTTGAATGTTGACCCTAATGATATACGAGCAGCTCTGGCAGCACGCTGAGGGTCACCGCGTTGTGATCCAGTACTAGGCGCAGCAATTGAACAGTGGGAGATGAACTGGAGCCGTCACCTGCTCATATCTCATCTTCGTGCTGGGTTAAACCCCCGATCCCGCATTCACTGATCAAAACCAATATCTTGTGCGTGGAGGTCAGCTGGAACCTATACTTAGTGCGGGTGACACTCAAATCTCAAAGCCCGAAAGGCTAGCTGTGTACATAATGGGTCGAGAAAACAGCAACCACTTGGTGAGTGCAATAGCCCTGGGGTCCGCAGCGTCTGCGTTGTCCCGGTGCTGAAAAAATTCCAACAGCGAGACTGATCACCCCGTGTGGCCAATATGGTGGGCGAGTGGGGGTAATGTTTCAACCTAAAGTTTAGCCTTCAATCGCCAAGCCCGGAACCAATCTCCGGGCGCCGTCGAACCGGCCGAGTTGCAACATCAAAATTTAAACGTGAGAGTCGCACAGTAAACTCTAAACCCTAAACTCTAAGTGTGCGAGTCGCACAGTAAACTTTAAATTCTAAACTCTAAACTTTAAACTCTAAACTCTAAACTCTAAACTTTAAACTCTAAACTCTAAACTTTAAACTCTAAACTCTAAAAGTGCGAGTCGCACACGGCGGGTCTGCGGATCATGGCTCCATAAAAGTAACTCTCGGAAGTGCCCCACTTCAAGTCCGTATTGATAGGGTTAAGCTCAAGAAAACAATACAACCTGGATTACAGCACAAGTATTACAACACTAACTGGTTCACCGAAAAGGTGATGATACGGACTAACTGTGGCAATCTATCGAAATCTTCAAGTGTGGAGAAATTTAGAATTGCAGAACTGCTATTTACAAACAGGGCGGCGAGTTATACGACCTAGTACGACATGCAGTACGCATTCAAGGTTCAAAGATATGCGTAATTATATGCAGCCAATAATCGAAAGTATTAACAACGTCATCGACAGAAGACATCTGGCAAATTGAATAGTGACACGCCGGAACACGCCTTCCCCGTTGTGGGATCCACATTCAGTTAGCACGCCAGTTTGTTTGATTCCGGCCATACACGTCATGACTAGAGTAAGGCTTATCCCACATGGGCCAGTGCAATACCGGTAAAGGTGGCACCCACGTTGCACAGGGTCTTCTTGTTCGTTCCATTCAGATCTGATCGATACACGGATCCTCCGAGGTCTGTATAATAAATGTGCTTATTCACATGGTCAATTCGAAGACCAATGGCCTACATGTGTAGGGAAAATTAGCGAACTTTCGTGTGCTCAAAATGGTATGGAGGGTAATACGGACCTCATGAAGATGACGGCTAAGGATCTCCGCATTCTTTGGGCCAGGAGGGCCGACAAGCGCCCGGTTGAGCGAGTTCCCCTGGGGATACTCTCCTCTATCGGTCCAGTAGAGCATGTTGTCATCAGCATCGATCTCAAGATCGATAGGCTCGGGCAGATGTTCAAATAATAATTCAATGTCAGAACGAGTCAACACACTTTCGCCGGGGCCTATATCAATATTAGCACGGAAAATGCGACCTTTGCCGGATTTGCTAGGCCCTTTTTGAGACCAGTAGAATTTGCCACGGGTGGCATCCACGCAAACCCCAACACACTAAGACGACGGTATCTATTAGCCAAAAGCAGTACTTGTCGTTGTAGTTGCAAGGTAGAAGATTTACCCATCTGGTTTCGTCCTCCATTTGTTGTTGAATATTCAAATCGCCTGTTTGAATGACTATCTCGTGCTCACTGCCGTCAAAATTGGCCCGATGCACTCGCATTCCCTCGCGATCACAGAAATATATTTTTTCATTCATATGGTCGATGGCCAGCTGCTTAGGAGTATGGACCTGACCCCTGGGAATGATTTCTCTAATGTCCGAACCATCAAGGTTTGCAGATTGAACGGATCCGTTGTTCTTTGATGGGATTCCCATCTGCGTCCAGAAGATGCGGCCACGGGAGAGACTGATGTCAATTCCATCTGGCATTTCAAGATGGTCCAATAGAGTCCGTGAATAACTACCGTCGGCTGAGGCAACGATGACTCTGCCAGCATGAATAAAGTCGGTGTGAATCCCCTCACCAAAGCCTAGGTCTAATAGGTAGATTGTGGGAGCAGCCAGATTATCCGGTTTAGTTTCACCTTGGCGTTGGATTTTGGTGGTATATCCAGGTGGATAGAGGCCACCTTTGCCAGACTTGGCACCCAACTTTCCCTGCTGGATGTAGTTCTTTCTAAGGAAATCAACAGTGTCAGTACCATCAAGGTGACGCTCTTGAATATAGTTGTCCTCGATAAATGCAACAGTATCAAGGCCAACTGAGTCCATCATTGCGCACGGGCCTGGCTTTTCATGCCCAAACATCTCGGCCTATTTTTACTCGGAAGGTTACTGTGTGATTCGTTTGAATGGGCCATGTGTGAACTCACCCACAAAGTATCGATTTCCTCTGGGTCACTGACACCCTGGGCAATAATCTTCACAGTTTCGCGCTTGATTGCGGCCCAGAGACGGTTGAAAATAAATCTTTTGGGTGGTCAATCAAACTGAACTCGGAATGAAACAGTGACAAGAATGATAGGCGGGATTCGCTACATACCCGGTCGATTCCTTGCGTGCCACTGCTGGCAATAGCCCTACCCTCTTGTGATGCTCGACAAGGAAGGGGAAAATTGCTTCGTGTGTGTAAGTGCTCGTCATCAACTCCACAGTCCGTGTCGCTGCAGGCATGGTGTAGTGGACGTTTAAAACTCGCCCTTTGCTTTCATCATCCACCTGATCCAGCATCATGCTTGATTTGTAGGACGATGAATTAGAACCCAATATACAGTCTCTGGGCGCTTTCAGCGCAAGGTCCTTGAATATAGCAATTTTCAAGTCCAGCTTCTCCGGTACTGCCTCAACTACAAACCATGCATTTGCAACAGCGGCGCCGAGGTCTTCGACCGCACTATACTTGGCCGGCTTTGCAGCAGTGACCCCAAGAATCTTCGCAAATTCGGCAACATTGTTGTCAATGAAGTGTATGGCAGCCTTGCTCTGTTCAGTACTGGGATCCCTGATTATTGTGTTATAACCACCAGCTACCCAGGAGCATGCAATTCGACGTCCTATACCAAGTATAAGTACATTGGACAAGGCTAACTTCAAGGGTAATTTTCTTTCTCACCAAGAACACCAGCTCCTAGGACGACAACAGGACGTTCACCGATCTCTGGCGTCTTCCACGATGACATTATGATCTGCAAGGGGGGAAAGAACAACGATTATAATCGAGTTTCAGAATGTTAACTCAACAGTGAAGACACTGGATTTCAAAAGACAGAAGTCTGCTTGTGATGCCTGGAATTAATTACTTATATATGTCACCTTCTAGGACAGGCAAGGAAGTTCAGATTTCTAGAGCATAAATTAGGAAGAGCTGCAAAGCCACCCCTCCCTAAGCTAAAAGCCATCGCAACCGGCGTTTCCGTTTTGTGACGTAGCTGATGTTCCAGACTCAGGTGTCCAGGAAGATTGTAAAAACTCTACTGCTTCGCGACAAAGGTCACATCTCCGTATCAGGTGGCTAATCTTGTCACAGTTGGGTAAAGTTTAAAAAGGGGTCTAATCCAATGCTGCCAATGAACTCGGAGGACAGAACTTTAGCTACTGTTTTCTTATCGCACATGGTGTCATTGACTACGTAGTACGTGAATGACCAGTCTGTCGCAGATAGTTCCTCTTGGCCAATAGATTCTGTGTTATAACCGAACATCCCCGATGTAACCACGGATGTGGTTTTGGGATGTGTATCGATTGAGTTATGCCGATCAGGTGGATATCATTATTGATAATGGGCTAACCTTCAAGTGGCAATTAACTAGTTGGTTGGTATGTCCCCACTCCCGTTCCCGTTCCAGTACCGCCGTGGTATGGAAATATAATACAAGGGAGTACTTTCCCACAACCATATCCTCAACTGATGTCGACGGATAGTCACAAACCTTTTGAAACTTTCAGTTCACTACTCTGATATCGGCCTTTTCCGCTGTTTCAAACCCCCATCACCGACTGAGATGTCTCAAACCAAAGAGATCAGTAGCCTTGAGGTCATCCCCAAGAGAGAGGCGGCGAAGCACACCGCTAAAAAAGATCTATGGGTGATCCTTCATAATCAGGTATAATACCATACTATAGACAAGCGAATAATGAACTGACATGAAGATAGGTTTATAACGTCACACAATATGTTGAAGATCGTTAGTCGCTCTATACATTTTCACTGTATTGTTCGCTAGGCTAACGGAGCAGAAAGACCCCGGTGGTGTGGCAATTCTATTAGAATCGGCCGGCCAAGACTGCACCGAGGCTTTTGAAGATATAGGTCACAGCACTGATGCACGAGAAGTGCTGGAGAAGTATCTAATCGGCAGAGTGCCGGATGATGTAAGAATCGAACGCTCCTGCTCGATTTTTCGTGTTTGGACTAGCGGGTCCGTGTATGCTGACTGCATTCCAGGAACGTACCGAGACCCTTACAAAGGCTGTACCTGAAGTTATTCCTCAAGAGGTAGGGGAAATTGAGAGCCAGGATATAAATAAGAAGCATATCCGCGCTATAGTGCCCACGATTTCCGCTGGCCTTCTGCTTATTACCAGCTTTATCTGGCTCGGTGGACGACTTGTCAAAGGAGTTCCCGCACTTCAGAGTTCAGGGGGTTTCTGGATGGGCTTTGGCATATCGTCGCTTGCCAGTGTATCAATGGCGATGGCGACAGGCGTTTGGTTTAATACCCTTATCAAGAGCAAAGCCAAGGAATCATTTCCTACGCGTATCAAATCCGGCATCAATATTGCCAAGAGACGGTCCATCAATTCTGGTGTGATGAACCCACGGGAATTTCGGAGCTTTCCTCTTGTTGAAAAGCAACAAATCTCTCCAGACACCTATCGGTTTTTCTTTGGTCTTCCAGAGCCTGGGTCGCTTCTAGGACTACCAACAGGTCAGCATGTCTATATAAGACATGAGAATTCTCAAGGCGATATGGTTAGCCGGAGCTATACCCCTGTATCGACTAATCGTGAAAGAGGACGCATGGAGTTGGTGGTGAAAACTTACCCGGATGGCTTCATGTCCCAATACCTTGCAAACCTTGCAATTGGTGATAAAGTCGATTTTCGAGGTCCTGGTGGAAAGATGAAATATACTCGGTATCTGACTAAGGAAATTGGCATGATTGCCGGTGGGTCAGGTACGTATCATACCAATATGCAACCGGTGCAGAATAGGACAACTAAGATAAAATCGGACAGGAATCACGCCTATGTTCAGGTAATAAGCCTCCATATATGTTAGATATGGTCTGCTAAGTGAATTGCAATGCAGCATAATCAAAGCCGTTTGCACGACCGAGAAGGATAATACCAAGATCAGCTTATTGTTTGCTAACAAGACTGAAGCTGATATTCTTCTTCGCAAAGAACTCGATGAATACGCCCAAAAGTTCCCCCACAAATTCAAGGTGTGGTATATTGTGGATACTCCTCCTCCTGGCTGGAAATACGGTAGTGGGAGAATTAATGAGGGTTTAATCAAAGAACGATTACCCAGGCCGAATGGAGAAGATTCCAAGATTCTTCTTTGTGGACCTCCAGGGATGCAAAAGGCGATGGTCAACACGCTTGTCGGGCTAGGATTTCGTCGTCCTAGCGCTGTTGCAAATGTCACTGACGAGATTTTTGTCTTTTAGGCTGGCTTCGACCCTCTGTTTTCTGGGCAAAATGAGGTCTCTTTTGGCTTTAGCTGTCAAGGCGCTTCAAGTCTTCTCTAGTAGACTCAGACGCCCCAGCCACTAACTTGAGCTCCCGTTACTTCTCCATGGCTCTGGATAGCACCACTTGCGCTCTTTTTCAACTTTCTATCAATTATTCGGCGGAATGCTAGCAAAGGGCGCGGTGTACATAGAAACCAAGCAAACATGTGACCGTTGACATTTACATACCAGTCATGCCTACACTAGTAGAAGATCCATGAGCATGGATTCGTATGGGTAGTTACTTTACGTAGGTATTACGGATAGGCGGTGGTTGGACGTATTGGACCTCAGAGGCTACATTGTATGGTCAATTTTGGCCGAGTGGTCTAGAACCGCATTCGGGTGATGATAGTAGGCGTGAGCACAGACATCCTTTTTCGATCTCTATGGGCACTTAGCGGTAATGAGCGGGAAAAGTCTTTTTGAAAATGTCCCCGAGGCTCCCAAGGAATGCATGATGAGTGCTGAAAAGCCAGCGGATCCATTAATTAGACCGTCGTACGCGTCACACAACACGTCACTAAAAATAGGGTTCAAGCTAGTCTGTGTGTCTGAGAGTAGATTGTAACGTCAGTAAATAGATAGGTCAACAGAGATATATCCACACAAGTACGTGACGTCACAATAGCAGGGCCTAGAGTACCATCAGGGAGCACAGCCGCCCCTTCTTTTAGTTTAAATTGACCATGTTACCCATCCTTTCTAGCTTGATATAATTGCAATGCAATCTGGTATTGGAACCCTTCCTGCTTTACTGTACATTTATTCGTCATGATCGTGGAATTATTTCTTGTAGGGAAAGATCCCAATCAGTCCTCCCACAAGATTGAGGTTGATAGGGTGGATGACTTGGAAAACCTGAAGATCAAGGTTGCGAGTCGATTCAACATTGTTGTACCGAGTGGTATTGATTTCCAGGATCAATCTGGCCGTCAGCTTCTTGATATTGAGGACATTCTGGATTGTCCTGAGGCTGTGGGAATTCTGGTTGATGGACACTCAATCCGAGAACCTGTAAGCTATTCCTTCAACGAAGAGTGTTGCGACTCATTAACAACACTGTTCAACAGTCTGGTCCGAAGGGGCTGCCATTTGCTGGTGCTTACTATGAGGTTTTTCCTGACCACGTTGGCAACCACGAGCGAATGTTCTACAGGTTCGGGGGCGTCATAAAATATACCACGTATGGCCGCGACAACTACCTGACCCGCGACCCCCGGGTGGCCGAGGTAGCTTTTTCGGAGAGCCCCTTCTTTACAAAAGCAACATCTAACCCCAATCATCCGCTTCACCCTATCAGTAATCAGAATTCTCTCTTCATATGCGACACTAATGAGAACTGGCGAATCGCCCATCGGTTTATAGCTCCGGCTCTCAATCCTAAGGCGATCAGGCATTACCACCCGATACTGCAATCTGTGGTGGAATCGTCGTTTCCTGTGTTTGACGAACTTGATCAGAAGGGTGAAGCTTTTAACACTTATCAGTATATGATGAAACTGGCTAGGTACCAATCTTCCGTGTCCTATTCCATAGCTACTATTGACATATCTTGCAGTGGAGCAATTGGAAAATGTGCCTTGGGGATGGTGAGAGTTTATATTCTGGTTGTTGCGTCGGGTTACTAAGAGTAATCGCGTGCAGGATCTACACCATTTTGATTCCATTGACGCCCCAGTTCATACCTTAGTCTCATCTATACAAAAGACTCTTCAACTGAATAAAAAGGTTGCGTCCAGAGGAGACTGGTCAGTTCGCTAAGTCCAATAAGTTTCGCAGAAAATCTGACAGTTCCCAGGTACGCCAAGGTACCATTCGGTGACCCTAAGGAATTAGATCGAACCCAGAAGCAGGTTGTACAGCTCCTCAATGATGCTTTCGATACTTGCCCGAAATCTGGCGATGAGGATCTACCTATCAACGAAGCTGCCCTTCGTGCTGCATGCATTTTTGATTATCTTAACAGAGCAGTTGATGACACGGGAAAGAAATTACCTAGGGAACTCGTCGCTCCTAACATGCTGCCAGGTGAGATATATTAGTCAATAAATTTCCCGCGGTTAATTAATGAGAATATGCTGACGCCGGTTCTATACGCTCAGTTGTAGGAGCTGGTTTCGTCACAACAGCTTGCCTATTGTCCTGGTTGATCTACTCGCTCTGCACTTACGAAGGAACACAAGATCGTCTCCTACAAGAGCTCGTAGATCATGGAGTTACCCACGATACGACTTGGGATCCGGATTTCGCCGACAGTCTTCCGTATCTAAATAATTTCATCAAGGAAACGCAGCGGTATGTGCTCCTGAGGTCATATCCTCTGTATCTTATAAAGTATATTTATATTAACATGACTACTATTAGACTACATAATCCCTCATTCCAGCCTGGAAGGGTAACCAAGGCTGACTGCATCGTTCCGGGTGGGTACCAACTTCCAAAGGGGGCAGCGCTGATCATTGCTCTGTACGCAATCCATTCCAATCCTGATATATGGGATAATCCCCACCGCTTCGACCCAGACCGGTGGGACCGTTTCAATCCAAAAGAGAAGCCCAAATGTTCCTATATACCTTTTGCGACTGGTCCACGTTCCTGTATTGGCTTTAACTTCGCTCTTGGGGAGGTCAAAGTCGTCCTACCTTCCTTGGTTTACAGATATGAGTTTGTCCGTGAAGGGGAAAATACCATTGAGTACGATCCCCAGTATCAGCTAATCCGCCCGATGAATCTGTATGTTCGGGCGAAGAAAAGAACACACTGGCCCAAGGCAAGCGCAGTATCAGCTTGAGGAAAAGTGCGTGTCATTTTCTAAAGATCTTGTTTATGTTGTTTTGTGTTAGAGTTTGATGACGGAGAGGGAGCCTGAGAAACGACTACCCCATCATGGGGATGCAGCAGGCGCTACACAGGAACAATGGAAGGGAGAATACTGCCTGGTGAAGTAAGCTTCCTGCCGCCTATTGAATAGCTACCGCCTCTACAAGGCGCTTTTTCCCCCGATATATAGGAATATATAAGATGTTTATGAAAATCACACTATCATATCCCCCAGTGGTAACCAAAGGCAACAAAAAGCCCTGGTGACAGCAAGGCATGACTTGCGCTGGATGTTATCCGATCCATAATTTGGCTTGGTTAATGCTTGCCAACAAGCGCAAGGCTCAGCCTGGACGTTTGGGAAGCATTGCTGAGGACTAGATTGATTGATGCCAAGATTAGGGTGATGCACGGGTCATGTTCGGGTTCAAAATCCAGGTGCCGCCTAAATATATTACATGACCTCAGTCATGAAAAATCTTCGATCATCAATTTATACATCAATATACAAGACATTCAATGTAATAAATTAATTAGTTATTTTATATTTATCCGCGCTTACTTTTCCGTTTTGAAAAAAAAAAAATTATTATTTTCAGTTCAAAATAGCGTTTTAAAAGCAAGATCGTTGGTAAAAACAGGTTTTCTTTGCAGTCCAGTAATATCCTGGATAGAATATATATAAGATGAATGACTGGCCTAGCTTACCCAAAAGAGCATTCTTTTGCATGCTATTTAGTAAAACCGCTGCGCCTTTAACTTACTTCCCAAGGTGCCTTTCACAAAATTGAAGAGCAAAATCGGCAACTTCTTCCCATCTTTCCTGGTTAATTATTCCGTGTGTTCTACCCTCGAACACTTTCAATTCAACCACAGCGGGACCTTTGTCGTACATTGCAAACTCCTTTTCCACCGTGCTCTGTGTAACAACATGATCATTTGTCCCAGAGATTAATAAGAGCGGTGCTCTAGTACTCTTGTCAAATTCAACATGTGCTGGCCCACTTTTGCTAAGCCCGCCCAATGCACCTTGATATCCAATGAGTTAGCATGGTCCAAATATCAAACTAACAAACGATACCACATAGCCATCGGAGGTTCCATAGCTACTATTATCCTTTTCTGAAAAGAAATATAAACATAACCTACCTTGCCAAAGCACACGGGCCACGCTAGGAATGGCATATCGGTCGTAGAGCGCATTGCTCTCCACCTGACTGAGGTGGTTACCAAAGCAGTAGTGAAACTGGTTGACGGAGACCTGGACCGTGCTAGAGAAATGCAATGGGTTTCTAAGGACTGGGAATGTCGCACGGAGGGTGGATAAGGGTAATGAGAGGATACCGGCGGGTGGAGCAGGCGAAATGCCGACGCCAGCACAGCCTAGGCCACGGGACAAGAGTATTTGGGTAAAAAGGCCGCCGAAGCTGTGGCCTATAATAATTGGCGGAGTAGGCAAGTCACGTATGATGGTCTCGTAGTGATCGACAACGTCGGTAATGGTCTTGTTAGCCAAGGGCCTGGGGTCGGCACGGACCTCGGTGGGCGTGCGCTCGTCGATGCCTGGCCAGCCCGGTGCGAGGACTTTGTACCCCTTGTTACGGTAGTGAGTGATCCAGTCTTCCCAGGATAGGGGTGTCATCCAAAGGCCATGAATTAGGACGATGGTCGGCTTGTGGGACGGTGCTTCGGCCATGGTTTTCGCCCGAGCACGGAGTGGAATAGATATGGCTCGTTGGTCTTATTTTCGAGAAAGAGAGATCAGTGTGGGAGGGTCTCCTAGGTAAACTGTTTTGAAAAAAGGCCTATACTGGTTCTTCTAGAAAACAACAACGGACGTGCGCTCAGCGAGATAAGATACAATGGGATTTCGTCTCCTTCGCGGCCAGAATAGGTCGGTATTAATATACGTCAGCTAGAACTCAAATTGGTCCCAGTTCTCCTTGGGGTACTCTTCGTCCCATGTCGGGATACATGCAGCATTTGCCTTAATCGGCTGAGGAATTTGTCAACGTATACGGGTCCACGAGTTATAACCTTGCGCAGAACCGTAACTTCTGTAGGATTACGGATGGTCCGATTAATGGCATCCTAACGAAAAAGATAATTCCAAATTTCATTTCGCACCAGAATGGGATGGCTCTTAACTTTGTTCCAAATCTTTTTACCTCGGTAACCATGTATTCAAACCTAAAGGGTTGTACCAAAATAGTTTAGCCTCCGAGGTAACCTTCCCCGCCCTTTCTGATAGCGTTTCTGCACCTTGCCATCGCGCCCTGCATTAATTCGTGTTAGCCCCGAAGAGCTCAGCTAATACCATTGAACAAATTTGATATACTGTTAGAATAGCACGCCGATGGCAAATATTTCTGCTGCCGAGGCCATTAGTGCCTTATGAGCAGGTTGCTGTAACAACTACTAGGATCACACGTGCCACTGCCTTTACTCGTGGTGTGTGCATTTGAGGAGAAATTAACTCGTATTACCCGTCTTTCTAGTTTACCAGTCCTTCACTACCTGCTTGCCGCAATAACACTGAATTCATCTCTCCATACTATGCTGCCGTCTGCTGTTAGAAGGGTGGCTGTGATCGGGACTGGGGTTATCGGTGCGAGCTGGATTGCTCTTTTCCTAGCAAAAGGCCTTCAAGTAGTTGTTACAGATCCTGACCCCAGAGCTCCGGCAAGGGTTTCAAAATTCTTAGACACTGTTTGGCCGAGCTTAGTGAAAGCCGGTCTAGCTCCAGGTGCAAGCCTTGTTAATTACAGGTTTGTGGAGGAAATCGATGATTACTTGGCGGATATCGATTTTATACAAGAGGCAAGCTAATTACTCTCGGACAATGCAGAGTAGGTGTGCGCATTACACTAACATTGTTTTAGAACGGCCCCGAGGGTTATACATTCAAGAGAAAGCTTCTTGCTCGCCTCGATCGGAAGACACCCCCCGGAACTATTATCTGCTCTTCTTCACCGAAACCACCTTCCCAGCTAATAGGCGAATGTAACCTCCATCCAGGCCGTATCCTGATCGGCCACCCTTCTAGCCTACCACATTTGTTACCGGTGATAAAGGTTATTCCTCATCCAGGCACAGAAGTAAGACATGTTATAACCGCATTGCACTTTTATCGCTCCCTGGGGAGAACGGCCATCCTTTTACGCGAAAATTCCCCCGCGCTTGGGGGGGATAGAATACAAGCTGCCCTTCTTTCGGAAACGTACAACCTCGTTGAACGAGGAATGATATCTGCGAATGACATTGGTTAGTGCTTTACGAGCCACTGTTGCAAGAAATAAACTAATGCTTTGCTAATTAGACGTCGTCATGACCGGCCTCCAATGGGCATTTGCCGGGCCGTTTCAAACCAACGGACAAAGTATTGGTAAAACCTCCTCCAATAATCAATTTCAATCAAAGCACGGCAGTAACCAAATAAGAGCAGGATGTGGCGCACGATGGGTCTGATTTAGACCCAGAGGAAGGTTGACTTCGGTGGTGGTGGAACGAGTGACATAGTCACACAGGAAGAGTCAAGTTAGACAACTGTAAAAGAATTAAGATTTAACACAGAATAAATCGTCCGAAGAGAAATATCGGGCCAGTTTCAACCTGCATGCATGATAGAAAAGGAAGGGCTCTCCTGAGTCCAACGTAAAATCCACTCTGGTGAGAATTTGCTCTTCCCTCGGGTGAAAGAAAAAGTAAACCATCTGTGACTGGGTATCTGATCACATTGACATCTGGAACTAAGAGCCAGAAAAAATAAAATTTTAACATGATTATCGCGTAACTTCACTCCAATGAAGGGGATTTTGCTGAGGTTTTGTACCTGGACTGGAGGTGGTGGGGTTCAAGTCCTACCACTGGCAATCAACATTTACCTCACAATGCCCAAACGGCTAGCTCTGACTAAGGATAGTCCTCAGATACCATAGTCACCTAGCACAATCTAGTTACTATTCTCTACTTACGCACGGCGTGATATCCAGAGGGCGGAACCCCAAGCCGCTAAGGAAAGGACATAACCAAATTGCAAGAATGTGAAGGAATATTGACACACTGAATGCGGCCCTAGGGCCGGGTCTTTAATAAGCCACAAGGCTTCCATATGGACCTTAAGCTTGATTAAATATATGAATCACGGAACCTCTGGATAAGACAGTGTATTCAACCTCCAGCTAGGACACCCCATCCATCATGGGGTATAACCACCTTCCTTTACTTGCCTTCGGCAGTAACCAGATCTTCTATGACCTTCTGATTGACTACAGACCCATTGATGAAGGCATCGCATTCATTGCCATCCTACTGGTATAGAGTAGGTGTCAGGTTCTGCCCAGTCCTATCAAATTTGGGCATGTCTCCCCATGTCCATTTTCAATGTCCCTCCATATTCCTTTAGGAGATTCGAAGATTTTATACGGGTCAAGAGTGCACGCTCTAATTCCGATGGAGATATGAGTGAGATTTTGGAGAGCATGCCATGGTCCACCCAAGTTTTAACGATTTCACATTGCCATCCTGAATAATGCTAGAGCGCCGAGCGCCTCGTCTATGTCAGTCCATGACGGACCCTAGGAATGCCTTGGAGTTGATAATGAGGGGGTTTCTGGACAATGCCTTGTTGTTACTAGGGTAGCCACTTGTACGCAGCGTTTGATATCAAGGCATTGCCTCAGTGTCACCCCCCTCAATACTATGTGTCGATGCCGTAACAGGGACTTGCATGTGCGACCGTCAAGGACGGTCGCGGAGTGACATAACAAAGTGTAACACGTCCTTATGCACCACATAAAAACCAATGAGGCGGCTGTGTGTTTCTTGTGATGATGCCTGTGTAGAAAAGGATGATATTCTGGACACAAAGACTTCAATTCCATTGTTTGTTTGTTACACTGTTCAGAAACATGTATCGTGGCAGGCCTTCGAAGTCTCGATATGCTGACCATTGCGAAAGTTTACCTATGTTTGTCTGTCAATATAAGGTCTTCATATGTTTGTGAGGCCATAGCTGGTAGGAGAAGTGGGCTTTTTAAATATACCATCTGCTTAGCATATTTGTACAACTCCACAGCCATGCCGTCCTAGAGCTGTTTGATTCCCCGTTCTCCCTTTTATTTGCATGCATCCCAATATTGTTCCCATGTCTTATCGATGTCACATTTGTGAGCCTGGAGGGTTCGTCGTTGGACGCCGGGTAATGAAACACAAACGGAATAAGTATCCAAGAGACCCTGTCCATGTTCCGGCACTTGGCTAGGTTTAAGAAACCTTTAGGGCTTTCTTCTGTACTATCTACATGGAGGTTTTGATCCCTTATCCTGCATTACCTTAAAGTATGGATTCGTTGAGGTATCTTATATATCTGATAATCCTGGCAAAGCTGATGAAGGGACGCAAGATTTTCCAATTGGGAAGTAAATGAGAGGATACATGATTCAACAAAATGCTACGCGAAACTCAGCTATCTCTTCACGATCTTACGACTTGCTTGATTCCCTGAAATAAGTTTAGAATGCGCCAATGTACTTTCAATTACCGCTCTCGATGTGACACATCTTTAAAGGGTCTTACTGCACCTAGATCCGGCCCAAGTAAGCTGCGGTGTTGGTATAAATGCCGAGATATGCGGCCTCTCCACACCAATCACTCCAAAAAAACATTTTCAGCCTGCTTTTTAGAACTATCAACAACAAGTGGGTCACAATGTCCCCTCCCTAAGCAATGTTCTCTCCGTTTGGAGACACCGGCATACATCATCAAGTTATCGAGCTTACGTTGTCCCAAATAGCTCTCGAGACAGCGCTCATGGTTAACAATATCAAGGTGGGCAGCAAGAGGATTCGTAGGATATGTTGTTTTGCCTCCCCAATTGTTGACCGAGCACTTGCTTCCTGTCGTGGGAGCGTCCTTTGCAGAAACGGGAAGCTCCATAGCAGATACTTTTGGTCCAAATGCTAAGCTCTAGTGCAATTTTGGATCAACGAGATCAGATCGCAAGGCAGAGTAATCGTATTGAGGATGTCTAGGCATCCTTGTTACGTTGACTACCACCGCCCCTGAGCTGCGCGATAATCTTTGGGTCTCATTACTAGTATCTAACTCTCAGTTCCTAGTATTGGTCTATAATTTGTAGAAACGGGTACCACGCTAGGCGACTAACACAAACCTAACTCCGGCGTTTCATTAACTCCCAGATATCGCAACTGGGGAAAGAAGTGTGAGATAGACCGTTCGCCAGAACTGAAATGTTGTCTTTTGCCGCGGAAAAAAATGATCTACCTAAGTCCGTATTAATTTTAACAAATCACATCTGGGAATGTCAGAGAAATGCAGCTGGGGCGATACTCGATAGTCGGCTCTACTGTATCTGTACAGAGTCGGTAGCAGATTCGTATTTTGCTAAGAGAGAATGATAATACACGATATGCTAGAGGGGGATATAAATAAGAAAATGGAAAAATATAAACAAAAAAAAAAAAAAAAAGGATCAGTTGACAGGCAGGGTTTGAGAGGTATAGAATATAGAAGAATACAACCATGGAGGCTCGAACTATTCACATTAGGCCAAACAAATCTATAACCTGGGCCTACATATTTGCACCAACAGTTAGTAGGCAAAGCCAGTTCACTTCTGTGCGGATGACCCAGCAAACACTTAGTGGGAATGACCCTTTAGCCTCTTTTCGTATTGTTCCTTTAACTATCATTGGTTTAATGATGCTTCTTGCCGTTCTCCGAATATAACTGCCCTTCAGGAAATGGATTATGTCGAGATTCTTCGGTGTAATATTCGATCTATCAGGTGTAGCTGCTGGTCTGCGGTAGGTGGGAGTGTTCTAACTGTCTTCTAGCTAGGGGCGCTATAATAATATTGGCGAATGACCATTCGACCAGTTTCTCGACAGGTCGATCGAACACGAAAGGGAGGAAAGGAACGCAGATGAAACCAAGCTAGAAAATAAGTGATCAGCTGCTGAACGAGGTAATATATGAAAACGTTAAATTTGAGAACTGGAACGAGAGAAGCTTACCCCGATAGGTGCCCATGTCCTGCAAAAGACATTTTTCGAGTTCTTCAGAAGCTGTCCGGAATACCTCACAACACTGTGGATGGTGATGGCCGGCAATGCCATACTGGCAATGCTTTGGAATATGGCTCGCTTAAACATCACCGCCCTGTAGTCCTCCGCTAGCGGGATATGTATTGTTGGCCATGGCGTGAGAGTATCTGATGTGTCGTCAGCAACAACAGATTTGTCTTGGCTATCGCCATATGACTTTCTCTTGCTGCAATATTGCCCCTTCGAATTCTTTCCAGATGTCAAGTCTCTGGCATCCTTGTAGTCGTTGCTTAATGGGGCAAGCAATGAGCGATTGCGCAGGTAGGCTTTGTATCCTTCATGGACAACGTCTCCAAATACGTAAGCCCAGGAGATAGCATGTGTGCAACGCACAAAGTATGGATGAATGGCTGGGCGAAGCGACTCGCTAATGCCAGTATTATATGACGGGAACAGGATCGTTTGGATTCGGTTAGAGTAGGCCGTATATCGGTACGGGGTGTCCTTGCAGTCAATATGGCTTTTGAAAAATCTCCATTAGTATATTTAATGTGAACTCATTCCCTCTGATTTGCTTTTGCCTTTCGCCAGCTCCCAGCCTCTCTAATGCATGGTATAACGCCTCTCCTTACACGGAACAATCGTTCGTCAGGGTTGTATAGGGAATGGAAACAATGATTGCGCAGCGATACATACTAAGACGGGTAGATATCTTCGTAGAAGTATTCATCTTCATCGCGATCCACTAAGCTTTGCAGTGCAGGTGGAAGGGTCACCCGAGGGATAGGATTCTGGTACACATCAAGGCCTTCGTTATCTCGAGAATACCACAGCATAATTCGTTCGATGTATAGCAGGATACTGGTAAATTAGTCCAACGTAGAGTAAATGCTCCTGTATCGAAGAGCGACTTTCCGAGTTATTATGTCGAAAGCGCAGCAATCGCTGACACACTGAATAGTGAGACGCCTAGCCTAGGCACTACCGAGGAGCCGGGCCGCTAGATGAAATCATGGATCAGTCAGGGCCGATAGACCCTCTCGATGTATCATAACATAATCATGCGGCATGCCAATGTCCAAGCTTCCAGTTGTATATTCATTGGTGCCACTTGAAATTCCCTATCTTCTTCGCCACCCTAGAGAAGTGGTTCTCTGATAGGAAATGCTGTTGTTGAATATCTCTCTAGACCTAATCCCCAGTCCTTATCAGGACCAAAAATGAATGGCCCGCCGGAAACCACAACCATATTCTCACTCCTGTAGTGGTAAAGCTGCGAACGTACTCGAGTAATCTCGCATGGACTTCAAAGCTTGAGACGCCTGGTAAACTACGCTTCAATCAAAACAACTGCAAGCAGGTTAATACACAATGCCCATACTCCCTAACTTCTTGATTGGTCGCTCAGGCCGCTAACCTCGGCAACAGACTTGGTCCACTGAGTTATGAATATCAATCATACATCCAAGATATAAATTAGCATTATACAGCTTACTCATGCTTTCATCGCAGGTCCGAGAATGCTCTAATGGGCGGCGCGTCAGGTGCATAATCCGGTATGACGAGCATGTATCGATGTGCATAAGCAGGCCGAGCATGATAGCGAATATAATAATATAACAATATTTACAAACCAAGAAAAGATAGTCACTGAAGGGGTACACCTGTTGCGCCACAATTTGTGTATTGGGCTGCGTGACAATATTCAGATTCATCAAAAAGGGGGGAGGGACCGATTGAGGTGGTTTCCGAGGAATACGGCTTTGGTTCCTACCTCGGCAGCATATACCTGGGTGGATCACCGAAGGCGTTTAGTTTCGCCGCAAGGCTAACGGCTCCGCAGAGATCTCCCGTAGTACTCGGCTCAATTGGCCGATTTATCAAACTTCAGTTGTCTCCACTGACGATCATAAAGTACCCACCCATTGCGATCGTTAGGGATGCCGCGCTCCCGATCCCGTGAGGTGATCTATAATTTTGCCACTACACAAGTCAAGTCATATCTAGGCCATCAAATAAAAATAGGACAGACAGATAACATAATGTGCCGAGGAGATTTGTATTCCACTATAATATTCTAGAGCAAAGACCATATGGTGTGCGCCACTCGGGTTTAAGGGGGATTCAATAGCAACTTCTTAGTTCACCCACCCCATATGGAAGCTGCCAGGTATCAGCAAACCTTTCTAGAGGTTATCAGCACATATATTCATAAACTCATGACCATGTTATATAATCCTATAAGGTACGGCAAAGCTGACATACGGCATTTTGACCTAACGTGCCTCTATCGTATAAAGGAGAAGGTACAAATTCAAGCCACTTCCGGTGTGTATACGGAAAACCTGGACTCGAACAGCCAAATAGCAGTTAGATGGAGGAGAGGAAATCCAACATATACACATTTATTTACATGTCATTTAATCTTAATTCTGTCATTGAAATAACCACTGACTAGCGTGTGATATATCCTTAGTCTTCGATGTATTTGTCGGTTTGAGCAGCCGTAATATATCTTCAACTGCCAAGATATTTTCAAGATCGAAAGGGTTTGTGCCCCTTTAGTTTTTGGTAACGAGCCCATAGGACTTCACAAGGGCTACAAACGTGATACATAGTTGATAAATATTCCCTGTTTACTATTTACTTTGTTTTATGAGCCGTGTGAGTTAAGGTTGCTCGCGAAATAATGACAAAGATTCTTGACTTTTGTACTGGATGGAACAATTCATTGACCAGGTCATAGAGCACTTATAACATTTCGCTCACTTGCCTTGTGTTTTGTACCTAGATACTACTATTTGGAATGAGGAATATGCCCAGTTGAAGATAAGGGAAAAGTACATTTGTTAACAAATGAGGTGACCAAAGGGAGACATATGTTGCACATTCCAGAAAAGACCGGAGGAATGAAATGAAACTTGACCTTCTGCGTAGACACCACCATCAACCTCAATTAAATGAACAGTTCTAAATCTTGAACACCAGCACACACAAGGTATCTATGCAGAAGTCGATCGAGGTGGCCATTTCACTCGCCTCTCAGCGCGGACGTATAAATTATTCGGTCGGATGAGCTGGAACATTGGGTCATACTCAATAGGATCATCGCCCTCACGGGTGAATTTATAACGGTAGATGAGCTTCGGTAAAAAGACCTTGATTTCCTGGAGCGCGAAGTTAAACCCAATACACATTCGTTGGCCCATAGCAAATGGTATGTAGGCGGCTTTGTCCCTCTTTTTCACCTGCTCAGTATCCCAGCGATCGGGATCAAATCGATTAGGATTCTCCCATATATCAGGATTGTTATGGATATGATGCAATGCAGGTATCACAACAGCATCCTTCGGTAGTCTATAGCCTCCAGGTAAGATAAGATCCACCTTGGCTGTACGTCCGGGCTGGAAGGATGGATTGTGTCGACGCTGTGCCTCTTTAATATATTTATCAAGAAATACTAAGCGATCTGTGAGATCAGCTGTAACTTGAGTATTCTCATCCACACCATTATCAATCAATTCCTGTAGGAGGCGATCCTGCATGCCTGGGTAAGTTACCAGTCCATAGATAAGCCAGGAGAGCAATGAGCTCGTGGTTGTGAACCCAGCGCCAGTTGCGACTACCAGAGCCCATACCAAACTGGACTTGGGCAGCTTTTCACCCTTATTGTCGACGGCACGGATGGCATAGTCTGAATGCATTTTAGTACAGATAGACTACTCAAGGGGAAGGGGGAATGCACTTAACTTACCGACCATGTTCGAGGCTTGTAAGGCCGCATCTTGTAGGGGAATGTCAACAACACCGCCCCTGGCAGCCTGCGCAATCGACTCCTCCACTAAATGTTCAACCCTGGCTTTTGCCTGCTTCAGCCGCTGAGGGTCGCCGAAAGGCAGTCGGCCATACCAGTCTCCCTTTGAAGTAACCTTCTTATTAAGGGCAAGGACTTCAGCAATTAGGTGGACCATCTCATGCAGAGGTGCATCTGGGGATGTAAAATGCTGAAAGTCTAAGCCAAGTGTGAGCTTTCCCACTGCTTGCGAGCCAAGCTTAAGCATATATTGATATACATTCCATGCTTCACGCTGCTCATCAAGAGTATCAAAGACTTTAAAAGCCTCTTCTACACTTTTCTGCATAGTAGGAGCATAGTGACGGACGGCCTTAGGACCCAGGGCTGGTGGAAGAAATTTATGAGCTATCTTCCACTCCGGTGTATCTGTGTCTCCTAGAAAGACACCCGCAGCCGGAGTCTTTAGAGCGTAGAGAGGATGGGCCTCGTTGATCTTCTTGGTAAAGAAATCCGACTCGGTAAAGACAATCGCAGCGATTCGTGGATCATTAGTCTGGTAGGTCTCACGCCCGAGGTTGGTAGTTTTGATCACCGGTCCATATTGTTCAAATAACCGCTGGTGGTTCCCTAGATGATCTGGATACACCTCAAAGTAGTTCCCGACATACGGCAATCCTTTTGGGCCCACAGGCTCTCGTACGGCATGTCCATCGATAGAGATAGCCACGGGGCCACTGGCTGAAACGACCTCCGAAACATCATTGAGCGCGATTTCATCCGCATGGAAACCAATTCCTGTTTGTCTGTCAGCAAGTGTTGTCGTCTTGCCCAGGGAACGGCGAAGCTGTGAGACTAACCACTAGGCTCCACTATGGCGAAGTGAGCGGCAATCAAGTGTTTGAGCCCATCGATACCCCCAGTTGGGTCGACCTGGATGGTTCTGGATGACGAGAGGGGGTCACCGAGGACATAGAAATTTTGCGTAGACATTTGCAGGGTGATAATGATGAAAGCTCTGTAGCAAACAAACGCCCTTATCTGAGTAGTTGTGACAAACCTTTAATGACAAGTGAAGGAGTTTATATATCTATTACGGGCCGCTTAGGCCTTGACCTCCATGGTGGCATTACACGATCACTGTACTGTACGGGACACCGGGTCCTCCTCCCCTTGCAGCGGTGCAGATTCAATATGGCTTTGACACTCTGTTCAGCTGCTCTTTTCCGATTGGTCACCATAGCTCGGAACTCGAAACCTCGGTAATATTGACTGCTGTGCGCAAATGACATCGGCCAAAAGAATCAACAAGGGGGAACGCTTGCGGCAACAGGAGGCTTTCAGCAGAATTCGACCTTTAGACCAAGCTTTCAGCTTTTTGCTAGCTGAGCTCCATACGGGCCGAATAGACGAGCTTGTGTGGTGGTCTGTCCCGTTTCGTATAGGAGCAAATGACTGGTCGTATTAGAGTGATGACAGAATCATGCCCTGAAAGCCTCCTACTTAAGAAACCGGTCGCCTCTGGCCTGGGTTGAGTCCATAAACATCCCTTTAGTTTCTGTGTGTCTTAATTAAGCATTCTTTACTTGTTTACCACTTCCGAATAATATCTATATACACACCTGTTACAATGTCAGTCACATCAGAATATACTGCCGAAGCTATAGCAGCCCACAATACGAGAACAGATTTGTGGGTTACGATTCACGGAAAGGGTAAGTTGGCTCTTTGGGCAGGTTATCCTTAATTGGCATCCCTTTGACTAACACGTCTATCTACACGTAGTTTACAATATAACTGAGTACGTCAGAGACCATCCCGGCGGTGCCGATGTTTTGATTGATGTTGCTGGAACGGACGCAACAGCTGCATATGAAGAGGTCGGCCATTCTGACGATGCGGACGAGATTCTGCACTCTTACTTAATGGGGACTTTGAAAGGTGCTGTCGAGTTCAGCAAGCCCAAGGCCGTCAAAGTCATTGCTCAAGGCCCCCCGGCTACTAAGGCCACGAAGCCTCGATCGGCTTTTAGCACAGTGCTCGTATCAGGATCTCTCGGAGGGGCCGTACTATACTACCTGTTCGCCAACAAGATTCCTATGGCTGAGGGGCTAACGAAGGCCTCTCAGGCTGTGGTCAATTCAGGGTTCGATATGCGCCTTTTTCAAGGGGGAATCTCAACTGGAGGGTTTTCCAGTGGATTCATCGCTGCTACTCTTCTGTCTACCGCGATCGGCGGTATATTTGGAAAGAGACTGTCCAAGCTGCTCCAAATTGACTCTGGATTTGCCAAATTTCCATCTCACGTGAAATCGCACCCGGTACAACAGCCAAATCCGCACCTTATCAGCGGATTCCTTGAGCCCAAGGAATATAAGTCTCTTCCTTTGGTTCAAAAGGACGAGCTTGCTCAAAATGTGTACCGCTTTACCTTCCAACTACCCGGACGACAGGATGTTATTGGACTTCCGATTGGGCAGCATGTGGCTATAAAAGCTACTATTGATGGGCAAGCTGTTTCCAGGTCATATACCCCAACATCGAACAATTTGGATCTGGGAAGACTAGAATTGGTGATCAAGTGTTATCCAGATGGCCTCCTTACAGGAAAATATTTAGCGAATTTGCAAGTGGGTGACAAGGTCCAGTTTCGTGGTCCTAAAGGAGCTATGAAATATTATAATGGCCTCTGCAAAAAGATTGGAATGATCGCTGGGGGAACTGGAATCACCCCGATGTATCAGCTAATTCGCGCCATCTGCGAGAATGACACCGATTTGACCGAGGTCAGTCTTATCTACGCCAACCGTACTCAAGAGGATATTCTTCTGCGACAGGAGTTGGAAGCATTTGCCCGTGACTATCCGCAAAACCTAAAGCTCTGGTATATGCTGGACCACCCACCAAAGAATTGGGCCTATGGGAAAGGTTATGTTACCCCCTCTGTCATGGCAGCTAGGTTGCCTAAGCCCTCACCTGACACGAAGGTGATGCTGTGTGGCCCGCCAGGAATGGTCAATGCTTCGAAAAAGGGTTTGGTTAGTTTGGGATACCAATCATCCGGAGCTGTGTCAAAGATGACGGATCAAATCTTCAGCTTTTAGGGAGGCACTTCGTGCGAGCGGGTTTTTACTTTCACGGTGTATTTTGAATTTGTATTGCTAGATTATCCCTTTTGCTGAAAATTAAATGCTTGTTAAGGAGACGGAGACCCTGTCTACCGTAGATTGTTTAATTAAATATAGAGAAAACGCCGACCATACTGATGCAAAATGTCCAGTTATGAATTAGGACAAGGCCAGAGGATGAATTATGTAGACAGAATTCTAAGCAAGGGTGACAATAACAAGGTCTCCTGGCGCAGGTGGACCAAACACGCCTTGAAAAGTAGAACGTCCAACTCATTAGATTCTTCTCTAGTCAATGCGATGTACGGCTTGACAACCATGAGGAATTGCTCTGTGCACTAGAGGAATTGCCTTTGTGTACAAAACTTGCTTATCATCTTGGGTAGAAGGGGCCAGAATAATCACTCCGAAACGTGCTCTCATTCTGAGGCTGATAGGCTGGCTTACTGGCAAAGGTTATGTTGCTACACCTCGGATAGTGGCTGACATCAAGCAAGGCCTATTGGATTATCGGGAACGACACGGCAGTCACCGGAGACGGTAATCCATCAATCCAGAATCCCGGGGTGCCTCGTATCTGGAGGCTTTCAGCAAATACAACTATTATCCCGTTCCGGGTACCTATGTGCCGGTACCCTAGCCATAGAAACCTCGGGATCGGCACTCGGCTTGAGAGATCAGTCCAAAACAAAAGAATGTGCTCAATCAATGCGGCTAGCCGACGTTAGGAAGGTATGCCAACCCGACATGGCCCGAGTATATGTTTTCGTCTCCTTTCTTGAGCTACCAGCACAAAGAAATGCCTATATAATGAGAAGATTGACGGGGCCTGGGTTTTATCCTTCTTGATTTGTATGCAGCAGTTCCACAAACAAAGAGTTGCTTTACTTCTTTTTGCGCGGATACTTTCCTGGTTCAAGTTTTAGTTCACGTATTCTGCTACCTTCACATTAGCATTACCCAGAGCTACATCCGAAATGGCACCTTGGAAACACCCAGAAGACTATCAGAACCGACCTGTTGCCGTGCTTGGTGCGGGTGTCCTTGGCCGGCGTATAGGTAAAGGGCCCATTTGGAGTTAATCCACGTGTCATATATACTAACAACGGACTTTGAACACAGGATGCGTTTGGGCATCTGGCGGATATGATGTTATTATCCGCGATCCGAGCGCAGAGCAGCGTACGGATGGCATAGCGTATATCGAGAAAAATGTGGCCGTGTATGCTCAGAAGACTGGTAAAAAGCCTGGCAAGGCAGAGGCAGTTGAGGAACTGGCAGATGCGGTCAGGCATGCATGGCTAGTGATCGAAGCAGTGCCGGAAAAGCTCCATTTGAAAATCGATACATTTGCAGAGCTAGAAACTTTGGCACCTGCTGATTGCATCCTAGCGTCGAATTCATCTTCATATAAGACTTCTGAGATGCTTACCAAAGTTGGGACTGACACCAGGACTCGGATATTAAATATGCACTACTATATGCCTCCAGACTGCATGATTGTGGAGATCATGACGGATGGCTACACGGATAACGCGGTTTTTCCATTCATCGTTGAGCGGTCGAAGGAGGTTGCGACCCTGCCTTACGTGGCAAGAAAGGAGTCGACGGGTTTCATATTCAATCGCCTCTGGGCGGCTGTCAAGCGCGAGACATTGACAATTTTGGCGGAGGGTGTGTCAGTCCCCGAGGAGATCGACTCTATGTGGTTGGAAATGTTTGTGAAAGGAGGCGCAGCTCCATGCCGGACAATGGATGGTACGTCATGACCCCTTGTCCCTCATAGCTTCCAGATGTTGCCGCTAGGAGACTAACAGATGATGAAGCCGTGGGGCTCGACACGGTTGCTTTTATTGAACGGCATTATGTTGATGAACGTGGCCTGTCGCCTGAAAAGACCGTGGACTTTCTGCAACAAAAGTATTTAGATCATGGAAAGCTTGGCAGCAAGTGCCCTCAAGGTGGACTTTACCCGCCTACAGAGGATAAGGCTTAAATATCAGGGTTTCTCTAAAGATTTTAAGCAGACCGTCGGATTAAAATTAGACGTTACAAGCGATGAGATTTATGTTAGTATCCTTGGGGCGGGGAAAGGGCAATATCTACTGCTATTACTTGTTCAGCGTGGTGAGAAGAAAAGCTGGATGCGGATGACTCTCGCTCCTTGCCTGGGATTATGGTGCTTTCAATATTGTTTACTTGTAGGTCGGAGACACTATTTAGTTTTCTCAAGCAATCGAGAGAGTGGAAGCATGATCCAATATGGACACGAACGAGTGCTGTACAGTACCTGGGCAAGTTGGGTCGGGTCGCCTTACTACATACCTCGGGAGACAGACTTGATAACGTTGAGAAATGCAACACACCTAAGAGATAGCTACCAAAGCCTCTTTCTCTTATACTTCTCTTCTATATTCGTACGGATAAGTCTGTGTGCCGTAATCGGTCCGCAGTAGCATGTGAAACAAGCCGCCGGTGGATAGTTCGTTGTAATCTCTCGATAATAGTCATTCCTTGCAAACACAGGCCTCTAAGTAGCTGCTTTGTTACAAAATCACCAGGTCGACAGTAAGTGCGATTAATAGCACAATAACAAGGCAATACTAATAGTCCATATAAAAGCGTCCAGTGTGGCATCACAAATCCTGGCTCACCAACGGCGAAAAGTTGGAAATTGAAGGCCCTACCAAGATACCACAAAGTGAAAGTCGCCGACTCGCCGTCAGCTTCTGTATCTGTATTCCTAATATGTAAAACCTGTTTGTCATCTAGTGAACGCCACCATCATATTTCAATTCCGACTGAATGGACAAAGCCAGGAATATGATTGGTTATCTTTGAAGAGCATATTCTTTGCGGCCGTAAGTATAGGCTCTCTGCCACCTATTAGCTACATGGCTTAATAAGTACAAGGGTAGTTTCTATCAGATAACACCTAGAAAAGAGACCAATATGCATCTCAATTAGAGATAGAGTTGGTATCGTGTCAAAGAAATATCTACTATACAGGGTAGAAGACCTGTCAACTAGGTAAGGGTACGTAGGCAGAAAACTAAGCAGTAGATATTAGGCAGACAGAAGACTTATTCTTGCCTCCTTCTTCCATTAACATCAGACTAACTTTATATCCAGAAGCAACCCCTTATTCTCCTAACAAGATAAGACTGACAAGGAGCTACTATACGCTATTGAAAAGTCAACGGATATGTAATCCGTCGTCGCCGTTCGGCCTCCGAGCTGTATATGCACAACGGGCAGGGTATACGATACAGTCATCATGCAGAGTCATCATCGGATCTGTGACATATCGGGTCAGGTTTTTGGTAGGCAGACCCGCACCCGCCCCGAACCCCGTGCTCATTTAGGTCGACTCGACTCAAAAAGAACCGGAAATCCCTGCTACTATACCTAAATAAGTAGGATATTGCTTATTCATCAGACACCTTATCTATATAGGTTTACTAGAATGTTAACCCAATTTTTGACGCTCTATATCTCTAACAGGTCTATATCTCTACTTTATATATATATATATATATATAATCTAGATCTATATAAAAATATAGAAAAGCTCAAAAATATCTGAATTTTTAAATTATGTAGTTTTTTATAAACTAAAATAGATTTTAGATTTAGAATCTATCCTAATCTACAGCAGGACTGGGGTGGGTTGAGGGCTGGTTTTTCGGAGGACCCGATCTACTCTAGTTGCGGTATTGCTGTGAATAAGAAATGGATCTTCCGCACCGGGTCTATCACTTTACAGAGAGTAGGTGGAAAGGATCATGTAACTACTAGTGTCCTAGTCAAGTTTCCCATGTGTCAATAATGAGCATTGTCTTTTATCGTTAATTTCGCCATTTTTGAAGGACCCAGTCATGTAATGGCGGGACTTTCAGCCAACATATCACTACAATGCCGGACGCTTAGTTCTGCATTAACATGCTAAGCTAGCTGGGCCGAGCATTAAGAACGAGCATGCATAGCCTCAATATGAGAACTATGCTAGATATAGTACGTTCAACTAGTACCCCAAGAGCGGTGGGCGTCAGCCGCAGAGATCAGGTATACGAAATTCTAGATCCATACTCAGGAACGGAGTACTAGTCGAAGAAGTGTAAACATGGAAATGAGCAAGCAGTGCCCCACCTGGCGGCCGCCGTTCTAGAATCGCTTGGCCACAAGTGGGGCATTCAAGCCAAAGAAAGACAAAGTTCCTTAAGGAGCGGAGTGCTTTAGTCAAAGAACTCTTAAACATAGGGATGAGCAGGAGGTGGACCCACCTGGCGGCCGCCTTTATATCGGCCGTCCAGTGGAGTTTCGAGCCAAAGAACTTCTATGGTTACCTGATCGGACTGCTGTGAGGGTAATTGGATATTTCTAAGCAGACAACCACTCTGTGGGATGCTACAGTCACGGAAGTCGGCATGGTACACAGGAAATTGCCCGTAATTCTTGCAAATGAAGATCAAAGCATTCAATGAACGTGCATATAAAGGCAGTTTCGCCTGTTGAGGGTTTGTTTCTCAACTCTTATTACTTGATCCTAACAATATTTGAGTATCCATTCAAGATGCCTCCAGCAAAGACGGAAGAAGCCAATCAAGAGATAGCCCTCCCTCCCGAAGAAGGAATACAGGGCTGGATCTGCTTGGGGGGATCTTTTTTTTCTTTATTTTGCACATATGGATTCTTAAGCGCGTGGGTGTTCTAAGTAATAAAAGAAGCATACCTGCTGACTCGGCTTTAACAGAATTGGTGTTTTCCAAACGAACTATAAGGAGTCAAGACTGAAGCAATATGACCCCTCTGAGATTTCGTGGATTTTTACACTCGAATTATCCTTGATGTGGGCGCTGGGTCCTGTATACGGCCATGTACTTGACACCTACGGATCTGCACCAGTGTTGTACCCGTGTAGTTTTCTGTGTGTCTTATCTCTCTGCATGACGAGCCTTGCCCATGAGTACTACCAGATCTTCCTGGCCCAAGGTCTCGCATTTGGCCTAGGCGCGGGTGGAGTATTTACCACAGCTATGGTCTGTACCGGTCAATGGTTTATCAGAAGACGAGGACTCGCAGTTGGCATCGCGACATCCGGAGCGAGTCTTGGCGGCGTGATATTTCCCATCTTGCTCGATCAGCTCATCAGCAAGGTTGGCTTTGACGGAGCAGTTCGATACACTGCTTTGTTTATCGGCGTACTGCTGGTCCTTGCTTGTCTGATGGTCAGGGCACGACTGCCTCCCAATAAATCGGATAAGAATTCAAAGTGGTTTGATTTGACATTACTCAAGAAAAAACAGCCACTCCTCCTCACCCTCGGGTGCTTCTTTTCAATGTATGTCCATTTTCCCGTGATTTATTGAGATATATCACTAAGCATGAAAAGGTGGAGCATGTGGGGGCCCTTCGACTACCTGTCAAGTATGGCAAAGAACTCGGGATTCTCCTCCTCACTCTCCGTATATCTGATCTCTATGATAACGTATCCATTTCCCTTTGTCTTGAATCATTATGAGAGGTAGCTCCTGACTGTTTCTAAGCGCGGCTTCTATTCCTGGTCGAGTCCTCCCGCCATATCTGGCTGATCGTATTGGACACCTCAATGTGCTAACTGCCTGCTCATTTCTGACTGCGGCATCAATATTCTGTCTATGGTTACCGTTCAATTATCATCCCTCGCACGCAGGGATCATCGTATTTGCTCTGGTTTATGGATTTGTCAGCGGATCCATCGTCTCTCTATTCATGCCTTGCGTTGCCAAGGTTGGCAAAGTGGAATCGCTGGGCCGAGCATTTGGCACATTTCAACTAATGATCTCGATAAGGTGGGATAGCATGCAATTTCCGGTACCAGGCTCATTTATTCTTTCCACAAGCTAATATACGAATTTCTAGTTGCCTAACAGGACTTCCAACCATGGGAGGTATTCTGAACCAGCAAGGGGGAGCCGACTTTTCTGGATTAGAGGTGTTTGCGGGTGTATCTGCCTTTGTGGGCTCATTGTTCCTAGCAGCATCTACCTATCTGTTGTCTAAGGCGCGAGGGACCTGGAAGGTTTAATTTGAGGGTCATAGTGCTGCATATGAAGGCCCTTCTGAGGTCAACTGACGAGTAAATCTGATAGGACAATTAATCAAGCCACTAAGTGAATATACCGTTAATTTATTGTTCGCTCTCGAATCACTTCGTGCGTGCGCAAAGGTCCTTGCGGCCAGTTTCGTCTCTTCGGCGCCCTCATTTTTTTGTAAAACTTTTGAATACACCACAATTTGAACTCTAACTTCCAAAAGACTTGAACGCGACGCTGAGAATATCATGATTCGATAGTTTCATGGGAATACCACCGAAAAGGAAGTAGAACAGCCATTGTGGGTCATTATAGGCTCTTCTCCTATTAATTTCAGATCACGCCTTTGTCATTGTGGTAGAGCCTCTCTTCCATGGAAACCAGTTATTCTTGGTAAGTAATACTTTCGGACACAAACGTTGGAGCCATAATCGTGCTATCTACGGTAATACACCCAAGCGTTGTGGCACAGTAGGATGTTTTCTAGCTTGAGAGGATCAGAAAGCGTATTCCCTCTCTATGCAGTGTCATACCACCGCTTCTGAAGCATGCCAAGGGTCCAGCTGAGTTGATTCTCCACATGAATCCGTTCTTCGCCTAACAGATTCATCGCCTTGACGTGATCAAGAGCGGCATGAATGATATACGAGACACTTGGGGGCAAGGTATCTATTAACGACAAAGAGAGTTTGTTCTGGGCAGCTGCTATATCTAGCATCATCATGCTAACGGTGTTGAGTGCTGTATAGGAGTTTTGCCGCTCCATTTCCGTCGGGCTGTTGCAAGCAGTGGGGGTCGAGTCTTGGTAGAGGATATGTCGGTGTATGACAAATAGTGTACTGTTCGGACCGTCAGTCCATATACAGGAACGAGTCTGATTCGGAGTAAAGCATTTCTTTAGACTGACCGCATCATAACCGCATTTCCTGTACACCACAAGCCTCTAAAACCACCTGCTCTTCTCAGACCCACCGCCAAAAGATTCTGAAGCAGACTGTCCAGCTTCTTCAGTTGCGCTATTCGAAGATCATCATCAGCTATACGTAGAGATTGTAACGTCCGATCCAGGAGCCATGCAGCCCGAGCTACACTAGCGAATGCTCCACGTTCTTGAGAAGGGTCGTCTGGAAGATTTGGGATCCTTTTGGACTCAGAAAGGTCGCTGAGAGGGAAGTCTTCTAACTTCGTTGCACGATTGGCTTCTATTTCTGGAGCTTGTGCTATAAGAGGTTGCAGCAATTCACGTGCTTCACAAATGAACGTTCTGTGAGAGACCGTATTAGTAGTGTTGTGGTGTTAGGCTAGGATACTCAGAGGGGGGCGAGAGATAGACCTCTCACAGATAAAAATGCTCCACCAAGTATTCCATTCTTCCACTTGCGTAAACAGCTCATCATCCGTAATTCCGGGGGGGTTAACGAGATGTAAACCATGGCTTATGCCCATTCGTGCACAGTAACCAATACTTGCAATTGACTCACTATACCTTCCACTGGAGTATTCATAGACGGCTATTAGAACTCCTGCTTGGATCAAAGGCAGCGAAAGGGACGAAGATGCTTGAACTTGTGCGAAAAGCGACTTTGTCGTCAAGTACAGGGTTGATAGGTGTGGAGGCTCGGTATTCTGCGAATGTGAGAATTCTGGATGATAGGTCACCAAGCACATGCTGAGAAGTAGTACAGAGAGATCCGTTGGGGGGGCCGCGCCTTGAAGTTTGTCGAGCTTATCGTTAAAACGGTCCGGGGATATGATCGGGACGAACGTGTGGATACCGCGGAAATATCGATTGTTGATTTCATCGAAGGTTCCGCCGGTTGCTCTTATAATTCGGTAGATTTGAAGGTACACGGCAGATTCAATATTTGTAGGCTCCAATAGCAGCATATCTGAGAAGATGTTCGAAAGAAGCAGGGAAGATCGGATGGCAGGATTGTGTGCGATGGGCCCTGTCAGAGACGGTCTGCCGCGAGCTAAGGGCTCCTCTGAGCCTCGGGGGACATAACGACACTCCAGCCTTTTGCTATAAGGCTATATTACAAAAAGCTTCTTTTCCATAATGTTACTGGTGATGAGCTTACCGGGTACAGTGCCCGCATTGTGGTAATGACTTATCGCATTTCCTCTTTCGTAATTTGCAATTAATGCAAACACTTTGGCGGTTATTGTCTAGAGAGTTAGGAGGGGGCATTAATTGGTGATATAGACTCCGAGAATTCACTGCGTGAGCGCTATCGTGATTGTAGGTGGGGAAGGTGCCCACTGATGAAGAAAAAAAAAAAAAGTGAACAAATGTGCACCATAGGTATCCGATCACCTGACACCCAGTGTACCTGGTGACCGATTTTCATCTACACCCCAATTTTGTTAAATAACCACAACACCACCAAAATGGAATAAATTGAGGCAGGTCTTGCGAAATGAGAACCTCTGTGACCAGGCGAAAATATGAATTATACAAAAGTCTCCAAAGTGCACAGGATCGACTGGTCAACGCTATCAAGATAATTGCCTGACCAGCATGGCCAACCTGGCATCCACATACTGAAACCAGGGAAGATGGAAAGAGTCGGAGAAGCTGGAAATGCAGGTGATGGAGGTCCGCGGTCAGGTCTAGGGCCTGAGCATCCTGATTCCCTGGCCATCATGGCTAACGTGGCATATACTTTGTGCCCCCAAGAGAAGCTTCGCGAGGTTATTGTCTTGATAGAAAAATGTGTCAAGCTCTACAACAGTCCATGGACCGTCTTATCCGCACACCATCAACTACGCGCTCTCTCTGGAGGAGTGGAAAGTAAAAGTCAATTTGTCCACTAATAAGCTGTCAGAGCTATCTACTACTGAGGGTAGAGGACCTGTGAACTAAGTAGGGATAGATAAAATAATAGTACGTAGTCTATTAACGGAAGACTGATTCTTATCTTCTTCTATAAGCAACAGTATACTAAATTATAGCCGAGGATGTCTCTTATTCTTTGTGGTGTTTATCTAAATCTAAGTCAATCTGGATCTCGGCTGTGATCTGGTAGTAGACAAGGCGAACAATCAGTAAATTGTTGCGCAGAGGGATGCTACCAAGATGTTTTTTTCTGGCTGGAGATGATCCAGTGGTCTAAATATCTGTTCAGCTATTCCTCTCCTGCTGGTAGCAGCTCGGCTGTTCTATTTCAGGAGCATCAGGAACTGTTACTAATTCTAATGTACTAGTCAGAACAAGATCCTTTAAACTAAGGGATCAATGCCTTCTCACAATCAATTCAATATCCCCCC